AGGCAAAGTCCTCATTGAATCTAACTTGATCTCTTGAAAATCTCTCCACTCATCTGTTTGCTCCATCCATGTAATTTTGATCTCCACTTTTTTCCTGTCCGGACCCGTGAGTCACTTCGCTGCAAAGGCCACCCCGTCCGGCACTAATATCTTGGCTTGCAAGTGTGAATGTGCTCAGCTGACCTACCTTCCTACATGTGCTCGGCCCCATCTGCTGAGCTTGATCTCACCTGTTCTGTAGTGATTTACATGTGATCGCACCGCCAGTCAGACTGGTCTCGATAAAAAATCTCGCTCACCGTTGTCTGCTGTGCCGGTCAGTGACAGAAATGAACACTTGTTGACGCCACAAATGTGGACAATGGAGCTCTTTTGTATAACTGCTTCGTTTTGTGTAAACAGTACCGTTGACTTTTGGACCCACTTTCTCCCGATGACATTTGGGGTCGTCAACGTTCCGCATCAGAAACAGTCGACAATTACTTAGTTCTTGCACTTCGCGCTGGAATCGCGAGTGGTTTGCAGGCCATGTCAGACTGACCGCTACCGTATATTCACCGTTCGATCCTCGGTAACTAGATAGCCAACATCGGTTTGCGGCAACTGCTGCAGACAGCCACTGTAAAATTGACTGTTTTGTTTGGGATAGACTCTAAGAGCAAAGCTACCTGGAACTGAGGTCACATTGTCTCCCTAGTCCAGGATAACGATCGTTCAACAATCTGGCACTCAACTCCGTCAATGACAAAGTTCTAGTATACATCCTGGGACTCTGACCTTGGGTTGCTTCGGTCTGCGGTTACTACCGACAATCCCTTCGCGATCCTGGGTATCGATTTTCGCCGACACCTAGTTGACACGCGTCGCCCTCACGAGATTCTCCATTGTGATATAAAACTGACCGTTAATGACCATATATATAACACATATCTACAGGTGACAAATGTACAAAGTAAGGTCTGGTGAAACAAACTGATTCGACACTAATTTGGTTTTACTGGGAGACCCGACTAAATTCCAGCTGAATATCTCTTTTATTACATTTTTGAACCCGATGTACTGCTCAAGAGTCGACAAGATGTTCTAGGCATCGAGACTTATTTTCCTGCAGGAAAACACTCGTAAATTTGTCGGTAACTCTTCGACAGCCAACGGCCGGTTACACCCATCTTGAGGCTCACCAGGTTGATCCATCAACCTTGAAACCAATTTACACGAAATTCTCAAAATACACTCATTTACATATTAGGTTGATTTCAGCCGTATACATTAGTAGTGGAATATGATTTGTCACGCTAGCGTGTGCTAAATTCGCCAATAGTTATTTGACGTCGTATTTGGGAGGATAAAATGAACGCAAAAGTATATGGCTAAGGAAAACCTGCTTTCAAATATATACTACTCAATTACATTCAATAGTATAGAGCGAAACAATAATTCGGGATATCCAAGTGGTGGCTTCGGCTAGTCGTCGGCGACCCCAAAAACACACGTAGATGAAGTGTCCGCTGCGATGTAGCTAAAAGTCTTCAAAAAAATCGTGCAGGTCGCCCTCATTCAAGGAAGATAAGGATGTCGAATTTTTATCGCTTAATTTTCAATAGACTTCTATCCAGGTAATATGAAGAGCACCGATTAGGTCATCGTCCGCGGACACTTACGATGTACTTCCAGTTGACGAGTCTCGAAAGGTCAATCAATATATGGAGTTTTGGACAAATCCAGAAAATTTTTTCATCCACCGCCCAACCCGGATCAACTGTCCCTGGAAACGAACTGAAAGACCAGGAGAGAACCTTTTGCTAGTCTGGAGTTTTGAGCGAAAAATTCAAGTAAATATCACAAGAAGCTTGCATGAGCAACAGGTGTGATATCTCGTTAACGTATTTCCACTCTAAACGCTATCTCGGGTGAAAGGAATTCAGTAAACTCTATCGTTCTGCTTTTTCGAGCCAAGAGACTTCGGGGCTCGATAAAGCACACACCCCAATTGGTAATTAATCAGGTGGCAGTTGGTCTGTTCGCCGAACTAGGCAATTGAATTGCAAACGTTTCGTCACCATCCGAGGAGACATCTCCAGTGCGCTGTTGGTTGGGTAGTCGCCCTCTTCGTGCGTGCGTCTATACAGTTGACAAAGAGTAGCCTTTGCGCTGTAACCTGACTGGCCATTGACAATCATCCTACTTGGATTCTGGTTGGTCCTATCTTAATCTGTGTTGTGTTGTGGTTTGTACCTCTTGCTTCCTACGGCCACGCTACTGTTGAAATTGCCGTCCATTGTTGTTTCTTCCGCTTGGACCGTTCTTGATCTGTATGACGTCGTGGTCCGCCTCTCTGTTGGTTTGTGGTGTACATCCCATCTTAAGTAGTTTTCTGTTGATATCTTCTTTGGGTCCTTGTTCGGCCTCGGCTTTTGTGGTTCTGGATTTCCTTTGTCCTCAGAGGCAGATAGACAGGACCGATCTCAATGCGTCTGTTTATTGCTCCGTTAGTGGAGTACCACACCTCCATGAACTCGCATTCTTTCTTTGTTCTTGCCTGGCCCAATATGCTGACGTCATTCCAATCGAAATGGTGTCCTTCTCCATCTTCGTGTGCAGAGATGAGAGAGAGTTGTTCGTGTCTCTTGGTGGCGAGCTTATGTTCCGTGATTCTGGTTGACAGTTTCCTCCCTGTTTGTCCCACGTAGTGTTTTTCACAATCGTTGCATTGAATTTTGTAGATTACATTTGTCTTTTCCATCGCATTAAGTATCCCATTTGGTTTTGATAGTGCTCTTAGCACGGTGTCAGTCGGTCCGTGGGCAGCGTTTATGGCATACTGTCGTAGTATCCTGGCAGTCATCTCCGAGATGTTTTTGATATATGGTAGTGTGATTGTTTTGCTTGTGCTTTCGGTTGTCGAGTTGGTTGAATTGCATTTTCTCAGAGATCTCCAGACGAAATTCCTTGGGTGACCGTTCCTTTGAAAGATTTTGTATAGGCGTTTCTCTTTTGCTTTGAATTTTACTGTGTTGCAGTGTGTTTCAATTCGCTTGAATAGTGTCCGAATGCAGCTCTGTTTGTGGCAGTTTGGGTGGCTGATGTGGTAGCTCAGAATTTGATCCATGTGCGTAGCCTTTCTGTGGACCTCCGTTTGCATTTGTCCATTCGGCAACCTTGTGACGGGGACATTATATATATACATATAAGACCAAGGATGTAGTTTTTCCAGGGCACAAACTATGGGCTAGTTGATGGGATCACTTAGTGAGGCTTTTGGAATGGACGTGAAAGACAATGTGGTGACCAAGCCTGAGCGACCGGCAGAAGCTGGCAAACAACAAGCACTTTTAATGAGAAACAGTTGGACGACATTTCACTTGTTACGTGCACTGAAAGACATAATGACCGAAAACTCCGGACCAGAAGCATTTTAGTTATTTGTGAGCCTGAAAAAGACTTCAGTTTGGGAGAAACCGACAACACTGTTTATATGGTGGAAACCTACCAGGATTATAGATTAATCGGACTTTATGAACTTCTGCATAGCCGCAGAGCCTCGATCCCCGAAATCCAGGAGTGATGCGCACTCAGAGTAACCTTGTTGTGCAAAGTGATGCGGTCAAACAACCATTCGAGCGCATCATTCCGATCGGTAAACCAAAAGTACAAATCACAGTCCCAAAAAAGTGCATTCACACTGGTGTCCCTTACGCTTATGACAATCGTGCTCCATGTTGATAACATATCCCAGCACAACCATACAAAAGCATATACGCGGGATACGCCAGAAGCGCCGATCAAACCATCAGCATCAGTTTTACCTAGAGGTGATTGCATTTACCAGTTCACCGGAGACGGTGATGGAGGTAGGGTGAGAAGGCACGTGTACCGTCAGTTGACCCTAACTCGGCTTTGGTGGAATCCATCGATTACCAGGCAGTCTAAGTGAGAGAATAAAAAGCTGAATGCCATCCATTGCTCCAGGTTCTAGCACCACGCGAGTAGTTTGAGAGACTGAGGTTCCTTGAGGCAATAGTGGCAGACTATTTCAGGTTCGTACTTCCGGCCTGGAACACTTAAGGATTTCTTGAGACTGTCTTAGTTTTATTGATTGGTCACGTTATTTTAGGCCTACAAAAGATTATGTGAAACGCGTCGTAACCCAGCTTATTGCTGCTGCAAACAGAGCCTATGAAGTGGACTCATCTGGCCCCCTTACACTGCAGTTGAACAACTTTGCGCACTACATTATAATGGTGGGAGTCACCCTTGGTCGCCAAAGCCTCGCATTACAACTATATTTAATATGTTGTCATGATAGAACTCTTCTGTCCCTACCAACAATGGACTTGGGATGGCCTAGTGGTTAAGAGAGAAACCTACTGACTAGAAGGTTTGTGGTTCGAGCCCAAATCCAGCATCTCGACTTCTCCAGTCTAGCCTTGAGCAACGCGGCAGTATCTCAGCCTTTGTGTCTGCATCGGGTAACATGATTGCTAGGCAACGGAAGGACGTTACAGGTGTACGATTAGTATTCGTTGAATTTCATTGTCTAGTTTAGCTTTATGAAGAAAAACATGGTGGGGGGAACACAGAGGAAATATGGACATCGCCAGTTTCCTACAATACAGGCATCGAACCGGAGCACCCGGACTCTTAACACGGTCACCATGAATACCTGAAAAAGAATGGCGTGTGGTAAAGCTTCCTTACGTATAGATCACCTTCACCTCACTACTCAAACACAAAGCGCATGTCGGACAAGTTTATTCAAACCATTTCGGGCACAGAAAAATGCATCGATGGCATTGAAAACGATTCAAGTATCCTCCGCTGCAAAGATAACGCCCATGAGCGGTAACTTTTTGTTTGCCCCTCCCCCCAAGTTCCCGTATGTCTCCCGAGGCATATTTAGTCTGTCCTCCATGGTGATCTCTCTAGGGATGGCGAACTTTATTCGGCGCGTGCCATTAGGAAAATCCCATTATATGAATAAAAAACGAAAGGAAGTAACATTTGGCCCGTTTTGTAGATTTTGAAATGATACAACCCAACGTTCAACACTGGTTGTCATGTGTATGGACATTATGATATCAGGTATAAATGCAAGGTTACACTGGCACCCTAAAGTCAAAGTGTATCGCACTGTAATGACTGAATGAAGAAGTTACTAAAGCGAAGTTGCTAATAGAGCAACAAAATAACGAAAGATGAGAGAAATGGAATTCAACAAGAAATGCAGGAGACAAGATGTTACTAGTATGGGAAAAATAGGCGAAAAAAGAACGTAAATTAAGAACGTTTATCAATATTAATTTCGTAGAATATTATGCGAGAAGCCGTAAAAAATGCAACACGATGGAGAAGAGAACTCAGATAAATGCAGTCCCCAAAAACAGGTGGCGATCGAAAGTTGCAGGCTCGACGGGAATGCGTAAAGGGATCGATATTCCAGAAAGGAAAAACATAACGGAGCTTGTGCCGCTCGAACAAGTTAGAAAATACAGTTCGGATCGATCGACGGATCACGCTTATGACGATACTGAAGCGCCAACCACACGCCAGCAAGCTGCAAACGCAACAAAAAAACAAAAATATGGTTCTTGAATATCGGACAGGGGCTCGTAAGGGCTTGTGATAAGGGAAATTGTGATTACGGGTTATCAATCGACCGCCGAACATGGCTAATAAAAGTGCTTTGTCGAACAAATAGTAAGCAAACGGTAAGCCAATAAACACTGGTTTCTTTTGAAAAAAATTGATAATTCAGATTTTGTGGAACAACCAAGCCTACGTTTTGTGACCAACAATTCATTTCGCAACCAGGGAATGGCGAATTCCCGTATACGATATCGCCCAACACAACCCACGACAGAATCGACTGACATGTTACTCCATCCCCCGAACATCGGCTAACGAGCCATGCATGGTCGCTTATTCGAAAAGCGATGTTGAAACCCACTTTTCACCAGAAGCATACTCATTCATACCCATTCATCATCCACTTTGACGATATCCCCACGAATGGTGACCAAACATCCGCAAGTCAATTGCCAAGCTTGGGGAGCGGATTAATTACCAATAGATGCACCCGAGCTACCAATATTCCAACACACTACCATGCACAGATGAATTGTGTAGGCCAGAATGCCCGTGAAATATCCGGTCACGTGCTAACAAACCAACCTTCGGATGGCAGATTGACTGGATCGCGTCACTGTGTTCTTGGTAAGCTTTCTTGTTTTGAGACCAGAATGTGGTGCATGTAACATCTATGCCATCAAGGCTCATCTTAGGTGGTCACACTGACATACACATTGTCGATCTGTGGGCAACTTTAACTCCAGGGGGTTGAAAATTAGGAACAAAATCAATCTTGCTGCCAAAGTCAGAGAACGAAACAATCTTTCGAGGAATTCGGCAATTTTCACAATACATGGATATATGGGATCAAAGCGTTGAATGACATGATATTGGCTGAAACCTGAGAGTGAGAGTACCAGAACGTGCCAGAGGCGTCCGCCGCTACTTATCTACCATGTTAAGTTGTCTGGCACTATTTCTTACCTATCTCCATAAGAATATGAGAACGTTACCAGATGAGGATTGTAGGCACAAAGAATGACAATCCATGAGAAACGTCCTTTCTCTTTCGCAAACGAATCGGTACACAATATGTAGGGAGTAAAAAGGCGAGCTATAAGATGAAACATAAAAGAAAACAAACAAAACCGGAAACCATTCACCTCGACCAGGCTAAAGAACAAGCCCACCGTCCCCGTGACACGAATCCCGCGCTCCAATTTCTGTTCCACTACGGACCAGCACGTTATGGTGCAAGGGCACGTCCGTGGAATAGATGAATTTGTGTGACCGGTGCAACAATCCGCCTGACGGTCGTGATCGCCTTCACAACAAGAAAGCTGTGTATCAAAACAAAATAAATAAAGGTGGCTTACAGGTAATCATTCAAGTCTGTCAGTCAATTTAGTAGACTACGGTAAAGTTATGTTGCTTCGAAGTACATTTTATTTCCTTGAAGAAACATTATCCATTAAGTTGCTGAAAGTTCTTTGACAGCCCTTCTTGGGACTCATCAGGTTGGCAAAGACCCAGAGTTTCTGCCAACCTTATGTCCCATTTGAACCCAAATCGGATACAACTCGCAGAGTACGCTCAACTGCACAGTAATTTGATCTTATTATTAGTTTGTTATTAATTTTATGTCACTTTCAATTCTGTTTAACTCACTCCCACGTGGGCATATGGCAGCTATGTGATCGATATACATATCCCCATGAAATAATATGGCGCAACTGACGGATACAAGGTCACTCGGCTATTCCTTCAAGTTGTCTCCCGCTCTTTGTACAACCACGCGCATACTTAAAAGCAAGACGGTTACCCGAATGTTTACGACAGAGACATACCCGAATTCTGAAAAAGCGCAGTCTTTCCTCTTTTTCGGGACTCACTGACCGAGCAGACAACTCGTCAAAACTGGACTTGAGTAACGGGCTCCTATGGTTTTTGAAAGCGTATTTTATGGTGTAGTTTGCACAAAAAATTGTGGCACGAAGTAAGCTAAGCCTTTGAACCAATACTAATCCCACTTTTCCTGAAGTCGCTGGGATAGTTAGGGTGGCTAGCCTAACTACCGTCAATCGAGAAAACGACATCGAAAAGACACTAGCAACCAAACAGTATCTAACAAATGAGGGTATCGTAACAGAGGACAATCAAGTGGAACCTGATATTGCTAGCTAACAAAGTAGCCCTGTGAGTAAGGAGTAAAACCGGAAGTAAGTTGCTCAAAGTAGACAACTACACCAAGAAAGACCGAGTGGGAAACGTTGACATATGAATTACGTAAGCAGAGCTCGATGAAAGATGAGCAATTAAGTGGCTCTGTAATACACGAATGGGGGGGGGGGGACTGAAATGCACGCATCCCTCAATCACAGTGATATCCCTTCGAGTACCATAAATAGTTCAACCATAAGGTTGCAGGAAACTGTAGTACCAGTCTTGTGCAGTCAATCTAGTGTTCGTCAACCCACCTCAGAGAAGTGACATGGTGGGCATCCCATTGGATGATCATGTGGAAGGTCAACACGACGAAATCCGCAACACTGGAATGTACGCATCATATCGATTTTTGTGGCATTGGTACTCTTTTGCCAAGCGGCCTCCACAATTGTTCGCTGGTCGGAGGTGCTCAGTGTTAGGCAGGCACAGGCAACAGAAAATTGGATCAGAAACAGACTGAAAAGGAGGACAATGTACTGCAGGGAATTTGAGTCAAGAAAAGACGCCGGGTTATTGCTCTCAAATGGAAGGTAATAAACCAAGACGCAACATCTGCTATGTAGCACATTCTGACAACATGCCCACCATATGGTAGGTAGAACAACAACATAGATGGCGGCAGATTAGTGTTGATGCTGATGCCTCATTACCATGCAATCACAAATTATATTTTTCTGACAAATGCATCACGCTGATTGGCGCACAGGTTAAGAAACGGGCGCACGTACTTTAGTCCAACAACCCACAGCACCCAGTATATTCCAATTCCACCGGGCAAAGTCCAGGACTGATCCATCCAAATAAGCTGAGGAACCCAGTCTGCTTTTGGGTTCATCAAACCTGACTTCTTCCCCGTTCTTGTCTAGAACTCAGTGACCACACTAGGAGAAGAGAAAGATCCGTCGAAAGAAACTCTTATAAACACAGCTGAACAACACAAATACCATATTTTGATCGTGCGAGACTGGAAGATTTCAATCACGATTTCGTCCTGCAAGTAAAGTCGATCTATGTCGAGAAACCGAACAGCACTGTACAACTGTTTCATTCCTGTTTGAGATCATCAGCAGCCCACATTCCACGAATCTCCAGAGTGATTGGAACATGCAACCTTCCGCCTAGTGGTTGAACACTAAACCATTTGTCCATGAGTAGCCGATCAGCAGTGTGATTAACTCTTCAGCTTGGTCAGCGATTTTGCACTGTGTTGTCGAACACAAAAGCGACACCTTAATCCAGAGATTTGGAGTCGCGAACTGCATGTGACTTCCACAAGTTGGTTACCATTTCGTGGCTAAAGAAGGTGCAAACAATATGTACCTAAGTCCACGTACTTCCTGCCTGTTATAAGGAGTCGTGGGCCGAGACTATCAACGTTGACTGTCAACATCCAGCTAAGTTCACATACGTGATTGGCTCGTAAAATTGTTACCAAAACCACCATCGCTTCAGTGCACACCTCCAGACACAATATCCAGGTCGAATAAAAACCCAGGTCATAACCCCGAAGATGATATGTCAATGACAAGTTAAAGATGAACGGTTACGACAAACTGGAAATACTCTATACACCGAAAAAGGATACGAAGAATAGAGCGGCTTGACTATGACGAGCTGTTCCAATGAATCCAAGCAGAGATAACAAGAATAGAAAAACGCCACAAGCTATAATCCCGCCAACAATGCTCACACTCGTTATGTAGACACTCAGGCGAGCATAAGCAGCCAAGCCGATCAGAATGAGGGATAGAACCTACCAAAAACCATGGCGCGATGTTAGACGCTGGGCGGCCACCTACCATATATATCCCGTTTAAGAAGAAAAGGATGTGTTTTATGAGGAAGAAATTCATTATGGCTGAAACGAAAAAGGAACAATTTGATTCCAGACCATGCTCTGAACGGGAGTATTAAAGTGGCATAGGATTTCGAGGTAGATCGGTGAATGCAACGACCCACGGCTAAGTCGCAGAAATGCTAACAACATGGTTCTCACTATCTACCACCAGAGCCTCGAGAAAAGAAAATTTTCGAATAAAACTGTCTCGCACGATTGACATGATCTTATGGTCACATTGAATGGGAAATAAACAAAGGGATCTCGATATATAGAGTCCAAGCACCCTGCATTCCTATCCTTAGTTTAAAATACTCGGGTTGTGAGTTTGTACATTAAGGAGAGAGTGGTTCCCAACCGAAAGCAAGACTACACACCCGTTAACTACGCGTTCGTAATGAGTTACATAAACACACGTCCACAAACCAGTGCAGTCGAATAAGCCCCTTAATCTAACCCATACAAAACAGTATCCTATACGACGTCCACCAGTATCATTAAACACTGAGGTGTTGAGTCCAGGAGTTTCATCCAGCGAGGTGATGGTTGTTCACCCGACTGAGTTTACTGTTTAGTGATTTTTACATCGTTACCAGTTCATAGACTGCCTCCGTCTCAGTTGTTTCCGCTCAGCACATAGCTAAAACAACAGCTCTGTGGAGTAGACAATCCTCTGACATGCGAAGTGCTTGTCTGTGAAGCGTGAGTAGTCCGTTGCGGGTGAGTTTATTGTGTCTAAAACTACTTGCAATCATCATCATCATCATCGGCAGCATGACAGACCATACAGTACTGCAGGGTTTTTTTCACGCGCATTTCCTAGGACAAAACTTGCTAGCCAAACAAGACAGGAAAGGTAGAGTCAACGTTTGCTCTTAGGAGGGTGTCACGGATTCCCGGACTGATACACCGGATCGAAACTTCCGCCCAAGATTCCCGGGTCAGTTTTGTTCTTATTGTTCAGTGGCTGCCGTTCACCTGAAAGGCACAAGCTGTTTAGGTCCTCAGGAAGGAGCAGCGAGCTTGCCAGCGCGAGGACTCGCATAAAAAAGCGCCTAATAGTGCTTTCAACTGGGTGCTAGGTGGATCGTGGACAACTGTCGGAGGAAGATTATCCCATGCATCAACTACCCGAAATGAAATGAAGTTTTGCGCTCCAAGATTGAAATTCTTACCACATCCCCAACGTGTGCTAGCTGGGTCAACGGTGAAAAATCTGTTGACCAAATCTTGTTCAAATAGGGCATAAGTGAGTATTAGGTCTCCTTGGTGGCGACGATACTCCAAGGAAAAGAGGTCAAGCACCGCGAGGCGCGTTTTATGGTCCACGAATTTAGGACCAGCAACTATTTTTGTCACAGCTCGTTGGACATACTCAGTGGAGGTTGCGTCTTTCAGGCATCCTGAATAGATAATTTGGTTGGCATACTCAGAAAGATTTCTGACGTAGGTCCATACAGTCCCTGGATGCCCATGCGAACAACACGTGTGAAGGAAAGCCGAATCATCCGTAGAACGGCGAGTGCCTTTTGAGCCGATTTCTCATGGTGCAGTGAGAAGGACATGTTTGAGTAGCGTCAGATATTAAATACTTCTGGTATCTATTCTCGTTATGTCTCCTATTCTACTCTCACCATGAACGACAAAGGCGTTTGCTGAGTCTTCTACGGATAACGTATGAACGCAGTTTCCTTCATTCAAGGGAAGGTGCCTTCCAGCGATCACTACTTTGCTGCGCCTGCACCCATTTGCAGGGTGCTGGCATACGAACACCAGAATTTCAAGTCGTCGGCTAAAAGTAGACGTGGACTTGAAACAACGTCTGGAAGGTCGTTGACGTAGATCAGCAAAAGAGGTGGCCCAAAAAAGAGCCAAGAGGAACTCCAATGGAGACCGGCGCCGAAAAAGGTCGAGTCTACTTTCACTCATCATGTTATGTCTGATGTGAACGCCCTAACCCAGCGTAGTTCTCCTTGAAACCTACAATACTAGAGTCTGTAGAGCAACTGGACGTGTGGGACTCGATCGAAAGTTTTTGAGAGAGTGAAGAATATAGCATCCAATATGAGTCATTCGTCCTTAGCTGGGGTTAAGCTGTCCATAAATACGAACATGTTCACCACGTAAGGACGGTTCCGGAGGATCCGGTTTTCACTGAGGACATCAAACTGTTGTTAGTGAGGTGATTTAAGGTGGCTCGCTTCAGAATGCACGGTACGCTAATGAGGCTAATAGGCCTATAGCTTCAGGATAGTCGGTTACAAGTTTTGTAAGTTGGCGTGACAATTGATTCTTTCCAAGCAGAAGAATTGTCTTCGTCGATCAACTGAAGGTAAACCACATAGAAATGCTTTGCCCGCGAGAACGACGTCTCAAGATGGACTCCGTAGTTAAATTTTTGAAGAATAGTTGAAATATTTCTTCCAGAAGACGCCGAATCCTTTTAGTTAGCTTGCTGTCCATTCGACTGCGTGCTGCTTTTTTGGTGAACGTCGTCTGAGCCCCGTGAATTTTCTGGGCAGTGGTCCTGTACAACTCTTCCACTGGAGTTGGTCCCAGTTTAAATCAATCAAAAAAGATACGCATTCTTGAGAGGTCTGCAGGGCAAAAATTTAGAATCCACGTTTGAGGTTCGGGATTTCTGACCCAGTAGCAGATGAAATCGAAGGTCAGCATACAGTGGTCACTATGTCCCACTGGAGCGTTAATTAACACCCGATGTACGAAGTGTCTTTGGTTGGAGTTCATCGAATCCAGGGGGTGGTAGTCGGCCTGCGAGGTATCTGGTGGGTGCGACGACCTGTTGAGTATAAGCGCTCTGTTGTATGACCTTCGTCAGCTCCGTTGCTAAATGTCCACTAGATCCGACACGCTGGAGCTCCATCCAACACGAAGATGTGTGAAGTGGTAGTTCAAGGAGAGCTGCTAAAGTCTTCCGAAGGAATCATGGGGAAATGGTAGACCACGCCGAAAATAGAATAGGTCCCGCGCAGCGGGATTCGGATCGCCGAAGGGTTCAAGAGTGGTGTCGGAGAGGACAACCGGGATGAGTAGGGCCACATGTATATATGCAAGATGGTCTTCATAAAAGCTCTTGCGCGATAGGCCAGCAACCCATAGCTCAGATATAACGTTTGTTGAAACATGTATCTTAAATGTCAGAGGGCCGTGTACCCCACAGTGTCTGTATTGTTCAGTTCTGTACTGAATGAGAAAGCGGAAAATCCATGACCTAGCAACGAAGTACGAAAATATTAACCAACATACTCAGTCGGGTGGACAACAGCCACTTTTTTAATGGGGACCACGGGGTTCACCTTAGCAGTGGCCAACGACATTGTCACACTCTTAGACGGAGTCCCACGCCAAAGCCACCTTTGCGTTCACTGCTCACGAATCCACAGATTAACACACAGGACTGAGGCTTTCGCCCAGTTCCCCGACAACGGCCAACAGGCCCAACTCGCGCGCGATTGGCGAAAAGAATGGACCACTGCCCGCTGCAGGGTGAAGCCAATTCCCGATTGGATAAACACATGGACCCAACTGCTAATAAAATTCCACTGTCTGCTTGGTGCAAGCCACTCATCCGGCGTCCAGAAACCATCCGAATCTCCACATCATGTGATGCAGATGTTTCCTGCACGTTTTCGGTGAGCACACCACGTACCATTAGTGCATATCCAGTTGAAAACCATGAAGAATTATGCAAGGGGTTGCTGGAAAAAGTTGGTAATAACGAAGCCCATATCGAAATACTTGAACTGTTCCCCCTAGAGTATCGTCAACCCCGAGGGAAGCAAATATTTTGTTGACTTTTTCTAAGAAGATTCAGCCAACACATTCTTCACTGTTGACAACTGATAAATGGCAAGCAAATATTGAGTATTTTCAGGTTCGTAGCGCATAGATTAATTAGGCACCAGTTTCTCTCGTTTCAGAAAGTTGTTGATTTGGGTGAACTTGTTCCGATGGCTATTCACGCTGCATCTAGAACCCGGTTCAAAAAAGTTCAGCCAGTGTTTTATGCGAGATATCGAGCTGGCAACTTGCAGCCCTGCGCTGAAAGCTTACAGAAAGGGGGCTATATTATTTTTTCACCTGTGCCTTTCGGGTAGAATTGCACCGCTGAACAACATAGACCAGACAGATCAGAGAGGCTTGGGCGAAAACCTGGACTCTGTTTTTGAACTCGTGATTCCTTAAACGAGGAGAGGTTTGCCCGTAATTTCAAGAGCATGACCCACCCACATAGACAGGATGACTAACTATACCTACTTCATCCCATGTGGCTGGTCATTTTCCCGCTCCTTCAAACAACATATTGACTCGAAAATAACCTATCGATTGTCCCACCACCTCCTGTACCCGGCCATAACTCAACTGTCCACACAGTTTCCGGACCACCAATGCTGCTGCCCCCAAAACAGACATAACCCATGTACATGATTTACATTAAAAAAAACGAGGATCAAATTGTCATGTTATTAGGCAGGCTTGGAACTGATTACTTACGGAGGCGTCTAAATACGTCTATTCTTGCCAAATGTTATAAGAAACTTACTGCCTTCTTGCTCCTACCGCACTGGACAGTGCTTACTTAACCTCCAAACCAGTCTGTGCTACGACAACTGGCTTACTTTCTCAGATGGTTTCCGAGGGCCTCCTAACCTGGGTCGGTCCGCAGAAAACGTTCTGACAAATTCAGTCCATGGGGTCATCAAGACACCGTGGCCTCGCCATCAAATAAGGTTGGCAGATAAGGATTATATGACACTATACATCTTGACAACATCGACGGGCCGTACATACGGAGAATGAAGGGTCGTCAACGTTTCCCGAGTTAATTTGAAAAGGGACAATGACCCAGGGCCAACGGTGTGTGATACACCACAATGGGAGATTATTATGGTTTCACTGCGGCGGGTAGCCATTGCTCAATGTTGCTGCGAAATAGAGGCTACGCACACTTCTCGATCAAATCTCGCATGATGGTGCCTTCAGTGGCGGGTTATCAGGTAACCGTTGATTTACTCACCAAGACTGACGATTAACTTTAAAACGTTTCATCGACAACCGAGGTGATATCGTCAGTGCACAGTGCGCCGTGTGCTGTGTGCTTTCAGCGCAACAATGGTCACGGTACACCCAGTGCAACTCACACCCCAAACGTCTACACGCAATTCACTAAGCTCGGGAACTGGATGCGCATGCATCATCCGGTTTTCGGACCCTCCACACCTAGCCTAAATTTGAGTTCATCCAACATATTGCCACGCCACAGTTATGCATCACCTGCTATTCATTTGGGGCATCTGCTGAGTTAGTCTCGAACCAAACATCGACTAACCCTCGCTGAGGTGGTGCATGCCTAGCCGTGCTGACTCGCTTTGCTACTCACTTTGAGTGTTGTGATGTTCTAGTTGGCCGGGTTTTGTCCGAACGATGTTGTGTACCGTTCAGAGCTTACCCCGGCGTGTCTTTTAGTGACGTTCTATCGGACTACTTTGAGTTCGGTCTCCCCTGATCATTCAAATGCAACGTTTGCAAGAACCCTTCTGCCGCCCTCCAGCTATGACCTTCGATGCATACTCTTCGCGGTTACAAAGTATTGTTCCTCCCGGGCATTTATCCATGAATGAAGCAATGGTGAAAATGTGGGTAAAGCTGTGCTGCAGACAAAAGTCTGCGAAGTCCTTTCGTTCGAATTATGATCATTTCACTGCGCCTGTACTTCCCCCAAAGCTTATTGACTTTCTATAGATTTCGTGTTCCGGCTCGCGTGTCGTCATCATCTCACAATCCCAAGGAACTATAATGCCTGACTCCACAAAAGCGACACCAGCCAGTCACTACAATTTCGCTGTACACTATGATTTTGAGATTTCTGTTACCACTTATCCGCTTTGCTAATCCCTCCACTTCATCACCCTCGCCTTCGCTTTTTCTGACTCTGGCTGTGGGCCCAAAAGCTCAAGGTCACGAGGCCTCAGCGTTGGTTTTAGGTTTGAGTTCAATGTGACTGACCGTGTGACGCAAGCCCTACTGCTTCACCACAACAACATAAGTTAAATAACCTGTTCAGGGTTTACTGTTGTTATCAAAGCACATTCAGTTTGCTGGATCAGATGGTAGTTGTTTTGTCACCGAGCTTAAAGACTGGCTTTAAAGCGTCTCATCGCCAGGTGAGTGGCATATCCAGTGTGCGTAATGCAGAAGCATGCCGAAAAAACACTTGCAAGCCAGTTGTCGGGTTCGACAAACTAATAGGCTGCCATCAAATCAATAGCCCGAAAACCCAACCGAACTATAAATATAAAACACTGCCAACATCCTTTTGTACAAGCTGTTGTATGTGGCCGTCCACATTTACCAGAGGTTGTGGCTGTAGCCTGGATGATATTTGAACACATGAATCCCGGAATCTCTCAAAATGAAGACACCGTATCGACCCATGAGAAACATTAACAGCGGTCCCATTAACAGAACTCTGGATATGCTCTCTTCCTCCGCAAATGTATGCACAGGGTGAAAGTGTTTAGTTCGTGTAATCAAGGTCCAAACTATATTTAAGCCCACACACCGACGGGTCAAGAGTGGCAGGTTTCCTTTGTCCAGTGACTCCAGCAAAAGCTGCAAACCCTGGCCGGTGATACATAATGAGTTAACAAAAAGTCCTAGGGTCGTTATGGTAAGTTGCTTGAGTGTGTAACCTTAACGTTGAACTCATAATATCAAGCAACCGAGAGTAACCGCACCACACCTGCTAACGGGTATTCAAACTGATTCAACCCTCCGTTGTCGCGCCAGCGCAGCCGTGTTCTCTTATCTCGGACCTTCTGTGTGGTGGAGTAGCCATATGAGGAGTGTACAACATACATATTTGGGATCAGTTTCTTACCGCTGCGCCTCATTACTCAGCTCACGAGTCTCTAAAGCATGGCAGATGTACGACGGATTTGGGTACCTTATATTACAATCTAAGCTTTGAGGGTTTCAATGTGAGTGCCTATCTACATCAACCGGCGGTTTTGTTCGATTTAGTGAGTGTACAGTCAAATTCATTTTCCCACAGGTTTAGATCTTGAAGGGCGTTTTGAGATGCTTCATCTGTCAGCTGTCAGTGTTGACGCAAAGAGGGATTTACATCTGCTGCATGGCTAATCTTGAACAGTTGCTCGCCTGGCCGACCAGCGTCTACCTATATTACTTCTGCCCCTGCCAAACGCAGGCCACTGGGTTATCACCGGGAATTGCCATATGATCTTACTCAAGGTCCATTATTTAGGCATATAGTGGCAACGCCCGCAGAATCTAACGCTCGTATCGTTTACCCGGCTCTCTCGGAATTTTTAGGCGTTCGTTCATTGGGTATCGTGGTTTCTGTTTAACCATTGACTTCTCCAATACAAAACATGTAATTAAAATTGAGTCTAGTTCTATGGCTTATGTTTCTGGAAAGTTCAGAGGATTGCTTTTTGACTCTTGTCTTTTTCTTAGACACATCCAAGCCCGTCTCATGGGTATCCATATCTGGATCGTAAGCTAATTGAGTCTGTTTTATGGCTTATGTTTCTGGAAAGTTCAGAGGATTGCTTTTTGACTCTTGTCTTTTTCTTAGACACATCCAAGCCCGTCTCATGGGTATCCATATCTGGATCGTAAGCTTCAACGGGCGGTGATTTTGACGCTGTACTAGTATTTGAAATTGGCAAATTTTTTAAGACGGAGAGGAGCTGGGCACTTCTCTAACGAAGCTCACCCGGAGGACCGAATTTGGGAGAAATAGAGCGGTAAGCTCGGGCATGATACCGCATCCAGCCGGTTGGGTGAAGCATCGGAGCGACTTGTGTTTCTGCAGCGTTTGACCGATAAAAGGTAGCTCCTTCAGGCGGCTGCTGAAATTTGGAGTGCTCATCCTTGTACGGTATTCAATGTTGCGAATAACTGGAAGGTAGGCTTTGTAGAAGCAACTATTGGAAAGGTATCATGAAGGCACATGAGGAGAGCCACAGCAGCGGACATATACCTTAGATAATACGTCCACTGAAACTGCGTCACCAACGGCCCTGAGGTTTTTCTTGCCAACAGGGACAAATTATGCGCTACGCTGTCATCTAAAATGTCCAAGTTCAGCCGATTCTTGCTGTGGTTGTCATGGAAAGTGTGGGCTGCCGAAGCCAGTTTCTAATATTCCCACTTTCAGCCTGTTCTTAAGATCCTGTTCCTTCTTATCAGCAAACTCTTACTTTATTGTATTCATATCACTTGTTTATCGCCCTTAGCGCCACTTTGTTACATGTCAAGGTTTACTTATACTGACCTGGACCTTTAAAATTATGTCCTCCTTCATGAGTTTGGAGGGCCATGAGATTATCCACTACGCCACTGGACATTGTAAAGATGTGAGTTATTCTTGACTAAACTTTTCTTACTCTTATTGTCTATATGTGGTCCCTGAATTTAGCAACATCGAGAGACGTGGAGAAGAAACATGCAACTTAGGAATTTGCTTCAGGCCAATTCATCCTGTCAAACAACTATTCAAGCGATTCGCAAAACAGGCTGCCAGGGGAACGAGCCACCAATCCAGGGCCTCTTTACCCCCAGGAAGATTGCAGTCTAGTTGGCGTAGTATGCGACTCCGTTAACTGAGAGAGTGAGCTAAGCAACCAATTTCCCAAGCATATTCCGAGGCTGTGTGGAACTGGAAAGGCAGCCTACGGGTCTGAGCATTGACCCCATACGGCCCACCTGTGCACAATTGTAAGTAGAGAGTCGGATAACCCAAAATTGGAATTCCGTGTCGATCATGCGTCGTGCGAGCAGACACTGGGACTGAAGGCAACCCGACGAAGCGGACCGAACACTTTTCAAGGTGGTAGGACAGGTTTTAGGCGCAAAAGTAGAACTAATTCCCATCAGAAATACACCAAAATTTTTCCCACAGTAAGCTAATAATTAAGAAGGAAATAATATGTCGTATGATCTGTGGACAAGAGATCATAGCTCGTTCAGATAGTGACAGAGGGCTCTGAATGCTTGCAAAGAACAAGGTTTTTGGATGTTTTTCTCCAGTGCCACTATAAAGAATTTGGCTGGAGTCAAACACCGAGGCAGCGGGCTGGTCGAGTGACTTATTTTTTCAGAATGCTAACGCTTTTCTCCAACTGTCAACAAAACAGACGAAATGACCAGCGTTGCCAATAAAGAAGAACATCCTAAAAAATTATAACCTTTATTATAAACATTTCACTAGTATGTTACCATTATAGAGTATCCGCAACCAACGTTAAGGTGGCTTATTTTTAAAAATTGTTCAGTGTGCCTATGTTAAGTCGGCTGTTTCTTGTGGCTGATGTGGGAAACTAATGGGCTCAAAATTAACAGTCGCACTGGTGGACCACGTTTTTTCCTGCGCGTAGGTGTGGGAATGTGACTGGGGCAAATATTTATAGTAACATATTCATGTCCCCAGTAGATTAGATTGAGCTCACACCCAGCTCACAGGCGGGTGGTGTGTTACGCCCACAGATACTTAAATGTATGAGGTAACTTCATTCATTTAACTGCATGAAGCGGGAGGAAAATTGATTCGTGCCTAGAGCTGTCTCATAGAGCAAGATATGCTTGGAGTAATGACAAAATTAGATACATTTTGTGTGCGCTACACAAAAGGAACACCAACCCCATCCATTTGATTAAGGGATGGAAAAATGCGTAAAGAAATCCTCCAGGCATTGGTACATTCCAAGCACAGTTGTTAAAATCACTGAATCGATAATTAAACTTGAACAGGTTTTGACTTGTCATTCACCATTCATAATGGTAGCCTTCGCTAATTCCGAAATCTCTATCGTTGAGATTCAGAGTGATTAAAACGTGGCCAACCTTTCTTAATGCACTGTCGGACTTAATTATGCCACGCAACACAAGAGCGTCCCAGGCTGTTTTACTGGCTTACGCGGTCTGTGAGATAAAAACCTGTTTTTAGTGGGTCCGTGATACCTCAAAATCAGGCCTGCTAATGTGTTATTTACCAGGGTAAGTAACAGAATGGTACGTTAGCGTTTTCTGTAGCCTGATAGTTAACGAAAAATAAAGCAACGTCTGCAATGAGAGGACCGGAGTAAAAAGGTTTTTCTAACTATTTAAGAAGAACTATGAGGTAACCGACGGTTACTAAAGCGTCACCCATAATAGCCTTTATAACGGTGTCAGTTGGATTGAAATATGCATCCATGACAGCGAACTGACAGAAGTAAAAGCACCAAGCGAACTCGGCACCCAAAGCCAACTTTTGACAGATCTTGCTTACAGCCACCTGAAAACGGAAATCATACTTCCCACCAGATCATTTACTTTCCGAGGCGGTGTTCTCAAATTTGCTCGGCAGTGGTTATGAAGCAACACATTTCGATTGAACACGGCCCATAAACTATCTGAACCCACAGATATGATGAGAGCTTGTTTTGCCGTGGGAAATAAAAGTCCAGAAACTTTTTTCAGTTGACGACGCGCACGTGCGATTATGCGCCTAACTCATTCGAAAATGCTATTGTCCTTGGAATTGGTGAGGTTATACTGACTGACCTTATCCAGTCATCGAGACAGGTTTATCACCCACAACACTAGATCTAACCGCCTTGTTGGTAAAAATATTTTGAACATCTTGATGTTACTCGCAAAATTCACAAACATGAATTTGGTAATGAGCCAGCAAACAAAGTGAGTTCCGCCAAACGTTCAACCTATTTGTGTCTGTAGTCAATTGTTCCCGGATTTGATTCGTAGGTTAACAACAGAAATGGAGGCAAGCAGTCTCACTTTGGAGTTACAGACCAAAGTTTTGACAGCTGTACTTTTTTCGCCGTTGGAGTTGATAAACCGCCCATCCTTTACCTTAGCCCCAAAATTCCTTTCGAAGTTTTGAACTCATGAAAATTTTTCATACGGTTTTAGCATCCGACAATGCTTATTCAAGACCATAAAATCTCCCCGAGCACTCGCATTTTTTCTGAAATTAGCTTAAGCGTGAACAGGGTCCATTTTTGTCACGCAGTTCATAATTTTTTTACTCTCAGCTAAGAATGATGGCTCTGTAAAAGTGGCGGAACATTGTGGAAAAATTGGTTCTTTCCGGCAATCCTTCTTTACTGAGCTCGGGAATATTTGAATGGGTGCGCTAGCAAAAGCTACGTCATCTTTGGCTGCGCGGACTCCAAATGAGGTTGGCGTTTGCGACCTTCTTCTTTAAAATTTTCCCATTAGCGCAGCAGGCATCCCTCAGAAAAAACCTAGGAGTTCTTTGCACCCAGTAGGCTTGGTGATGGTCGGTACTTGCTGCATTGAGTGCAATGCAAGGTTTTATCTTCACTGGTTTACTGACTCCTGGATAGTGCCACGGGAGGAAGTAGTAAGTCAAAGGACAGTAGTAGCAGACAGAACAATAGGGAGGCCTGTACTACATAATTTTCCACATATTTAGTGGACTGAGACCGCCTTTTGGGCGCGTCTAATACACTTGGTCGGAAAATAATAGAGCCGTGTTAAACTGCAATGAAGCCACCAGACCGAGTATTGCAGACACGGATCTATCATTACGACGTCATATTTTTTCCAGACAACCCCGTAAACAAACACTTCGGTTGAGCTTTTTGTGGTAGTCAGAGTAGCTGAGATTAAATAAAAAATCCTAACAAATTGATGCCGGCATGGATCAGTGATTCTCCTGGATCCATCGACGACACCGTTTGGATCATTGCTGCTAATCAAACGAGGCAACAAGACAGCCATATTTATACTGGGTACTCAAAGCAGGGCTGTGTCAAAAGTTCGGCTAGAATTCCCTATGGTGCAGGTTGGACTGCGTCTCTTCATAGCAGACAGCTAAATGTGGTCACAATTTCCAATCAATTTGGTGAGGCGGAAAAGCCTGATGAGTCGACGTTCAGGTGGAGCCATTAGGCTAGTATGGTGTGCGTTCGACTTGAACAGTTGTGGCCATATGGGAATGTGGGGAGTGTGCCTCAGCTTACACAACTAATGTCGTAGCTAGTTATGCAGTCACCCATAAGGCTGGGTGGGGAGAAGAGATGTGCCAGCAGGCAGTTTTAAAAACCGCGTTCGGAGAGAACTCGACATACTATTCAGCTCATATTTGGAGGCAGAACTATCAAGTATTGGAGAATGCTACGAGAAATGGGTGGTTCAAAAGAAGTTTCTGGAAGGGTCCAGTAACGCTTATTCAGGAAATGGGCGGAGGAGCCGCAGAGAAAGAGAGGTTATCAGTTAGGAGCTAGGCTGAACAGTGGTGCACCGACTAGGGATGCGGATGGCTTGCTGATATTACGCGCCGCGTGAAAAGAAGTGCTAACTAGTCTTGGAAAATGGGTGAGTCACATGAATTATTAGTTGTGTGCATGTAGGGGCAAGTGATCGGAGAGGAACGTGTAATGAGGGATTGTTTTGCATGTTTGGGCGATGAGTTAACTTAAGCATGGGGTAGTCAAAGCCTAGGACATTACACAAGAGGCGTTTCCCAGCGTAAATTTTGCGTCTCTGATATTTTACACATGAGACATTGTTTTTTCTTCACTCTACCCAGTACTTTAGATACAAGGGAGGATATCATGGAATATACGATACAACCGGGGACAGCCAAAGGCAGCAAGCAGACTTTCGACGGAAGTTCCTGCCTGTTTTCTCCGCTTCAGAAGATGGGGTGTGAGGCTCAGTATTGGATGGGAAGACTTCAAGGGTAAGACACGCGGTTTAAAGGATAACTTTTGAAGACGTGGCTTGGTGGCCGCGGAAAATACCTATCATGTAGAACAAATGTGGATGGGCACGCAAGGCGCACTGAACGGATGGTTGATTGGAAGTAATGGTCCACCGACAGTTTAGAGGACAAAGAAGGGAGTAAGGGTGTTGCGGAGGTGTATGATACTTGTATGTGGGTTGGAGTATATTTGTCCCTGGGATGGTGAGATAAAGTAAACCTTAATGTCCCGAGTCAGATAATGATCACGACAGGCGGTTTTATCGCGTTGGGTATGGCCGGTTCAGTTGCTCGTATAATAAGATGGCTAAGACATGATTCTCGAAGTGTTGATAGGTCGCAATACGTCAGCATCAACAGTGAGTTGGAGTGTTCCGGATTTCTTATGATATGGAAAACAGCCTCAGGGGAGACTGAAGTAGCCAGTGGCTTTCACTGTGCTCGGTGTCGGAGATGTTGAGGTTCTTTCAGCTCTCACCCCATGCTGAAGATCACAGAAAAGTTGGTTCACAAACTCAAAAACGGCAGCTGATAATTGTCTAGGGGCTGAGCCCCTAGCTAGGGATAATGTTACTGTGATTAAGTAGTAGAGGCTTGCAAGTGGTGGTGGGAATGATAGGGCTGTTGGTTTCGATAAACTACAGGGTATGACGGAATGCGGTTTGGACTGAATTTAGCGCTTTAAAAAAGCATATTTTACGCCGAGTATCCGCATACTTACTAGGTCGTTGCTACGGATACAGTGGTTAGCACATGTTTGAATACGCATGAGGTTCTTGGATTCTAGGGGTTACCGTTACACAGGTATATCTCGCATTTGCCTCTCATGCACTCCTATTTAACTTTTGAAGTTGCTGCGCCTAGAAATGCTTATGGTCACTGAATCTTGATATCACAACACCGGTGTACACAAGGATCCTCCATTAGCAACGTTGGGACTAAATGTGAAATGTGCCTTTATGACAGTAAGATATCTGAATGATATCACCTAGGTTTTAAACGAGACTAAATCGAGTATAAATTATTCATTTTGGGTTCATGGTCGAGTTAGTTGTTCCACGGCAAATAGAAAAGGAGTGACTATCCATTATAATTAAATGGATCTGAGAGGGCTCGTTCGATAAGGCACAGATGCGCTGACCACACTTACTGGACAATCTGACAGTATCTCGGCCATTGTCACGTGGCAGGCAAGCACCGCAAAGATGCTATGGCTGAACACTTGTTTTTGGCGGTTTCACCGGTCAATCTTACATATAAAAACATTATGCTAATGTTGGCTTTGTAATTTGTAAGTGCGGGCATGGAGGATAGACAGCGCACAAGTTTGTGGTGACTAAGGGCCATGGTTGGCCATGGCATTGAGTCATTGGCATAGGCGGCGATTGTAGGTTTAGGCCCGGCAGGTACGATAAGTGGCCATAGGTAGAGAATGACACATATGTTTAGCACGAGTAAAAGCCTCGTTTTCCGATCATTCCGTGGCGCCTTGTGACGTATTCCATCGAAGGAGAATAAGTATTTCCTGCGAGCAGTTGAAAAGCATATATTCGAAAGCGCTGCATTATCTACTGAGTAGATGTGCATATATGAAAATATGAAGCATCCACAGAGGTGTATACTCGTGAACAGCTGCACAATGTATCAAGTTGTATTCTAACATTATACTGAACGCAAGGCAACCTTCTCTCGAAAATGAATTTGGGTCGAAGATCGCTTAAAAATGTCTGCTTTGTTACATTCAGCGAGTCTGACGCACGCAAAAGTTATTCAGTTATCTACCTGATGGACCTTACATCAGATATTCTGTATATGTTCCACTCATTTATGTTACACCGCGGAACGTAAAATATGCTCAGGTTTGATTTCGTGCCTTATATCATAAACTGGTATTCACAAACTGATCGGTGGCCAGTGACCTTCAAGGTTCCGTCACTCAAACAAAGTGGCACCAGCATTATTTCACTGGGATGTGCAACCAGAGTGAGCTGGCTCTCCATAAAAACCTCAAATTTAAACACCACATAGCTTCAGCCAAAATAACTTCGGTTTCCACTGTGAGTAAACTGGCGAACACATGCAAATTGGTGGTGGTCGCTGACCTTGAAATTTTATTCACTCAGAGAAAAAGACCTTAGCAACAATCACTGAAGCGTGCAGTCGGAATAGACTCACTACCTGTAAAAGTCTCAGTTTTGAACTCCCTATAGTTTCTGCAAAATTAACTCGGGTTTGCCTCCAGTGGCCGGCTCTGGGGCGTAACAATACTGCTCTTATCCACTGAATTGCAAGCAACACACCACACCTCGAAGCATTCCAGGTAGTCTCCACTTTATGATGAGAGTTCAACGCGGCCCGGACTTTCATGGTGAAATGGTTACGTGCAATATGTTTAGCACGCAACCCCGAAAATGGGGTTCTGTGTTGCATACCGACTTGGTTTGCCGCTGCAATTTCACTTTGCCCCTTCTACGATTTCATTCACGGCTTTCGTTCGGCCGTGTGCATTTACACAATCGAAAGTGTGCTTCAGATCTAACTTTCCTAAAACAGCGACACCGATGAGTCAGGTGGGTTTCGATTTAAACCACTTTTTCGGACGAAACTTGTCAAATATCTTTACCTCAAATTCTCACATCCCCATCTTCAATTTGCTTTCTGGGACCCTGGCCATTTACTCAACCGCCGAAGGTCACTTATGGCCAGCAATGAATTTTCGGTTTTAGTTAAAGTGAACCGGCTTTATCACTTAACTAGTCGCACCTCATGCTCAATTATTCTGGTTTTTTTTGCTTTCCGCAACTACGGTGACTTTCACGTAACAAGCGTGTCGCGTCTGTTGTACTTTCCTCCCCGGTGTGTTGTTTCCCGCCACGTTCAGGTTGTGAAAACTCAATCATGTCTCCATTGTCATGTCCTATACAAGTTGGGAAACACAACTCTGGATTTCGGTGACACCAAACAAGCCGACACACGGACGTTACGCTGCAAGGCACAAGGTTACGTGTAGCGTCACACAGGATTTGGCACATTCTTACGGAATCCTCTATCTTGTAACTATATATAAGATACAGTAAAACAAATAATCCACCATACGAACTGGTTGCGATCGCTCAAATCCGCACTGGCGTGCTTTTGATGTGGAAATAACATATAGGCCTGTATTCTGGTAAGGTGATTCACCCGCGGGCCGAATGGCCCGATATTTCAAATGAACTTTACTGACACGCCAACGCATAACGACGAGGGTGTTCATAATGGAGGAAAATTTAATTGAGGAGGAAAAGCACAAAAGAAATAGAGGCTAAGATAGAGGTGATGTTTTTGTGAATGTCAGGGCGCGATAGGTGCCTCTGTAAATTTTTGGAATGTATTTAGAGCTAACGTTAACTGCTATCGCCAACGTCCTTGAGTGGCCAGTGTAAATTTCTACTTAGATGTGAGTTATGTGAATCGAACAGTTCCATTTTGAAACTTTTTGGGGTAAAATTAAATCTATATCGAAGAATTTCCACGTCTTGTAACTACAGTCATTGCTTTCACTCGCCTTAGCTGGTTACACCATCGTACTGTGAACAAATAGTAGCGAAGCCAACGATGTATTGTTCTGAAGCTTCATACGTGGTATACTCTCTAGGGCTTTGGGGTGTTGCTCGCCACTTTTCCAACTACGTGGGAGCGTTTTCTTGGCAACCACTTGTTTCTCACCTCGAATGTTGGTTTCATAATTGCACTGCTTTTTTCTTTCTGAAGTTAACACTCATCTGTCGGACGCAGACATGGGATTAGCTATAACTGAGCCATAGAACTCGTGTATGGAATAGGTTCATGAGGTCCGAGGACGGAGTTTATTTCAATCTAAGAGTAATGTTGATGATTTTTTGCACGGTGACGTCTACAACGTCCAACTCTGAGTGCATTGTCAACCGACCTATATAAAACTACTCAACCAGGCCTCCCATGTACACAATCAAATATGATGTAACCGAATTTTCAAACCTCCGACCCCTCTGGACCATATGAACATCCGTTCAGAGGGTACATGGCACAATTATCAGGCACCTAGAGGGATAGTTTTGGTCTCTCCTACTCGGTGCTTTGTCTCAGATCATCGGTTACTACATCTAACACATTCATCAATAAATCTTGAAAAGAAAAACATACATGCGAGATTCAGCTGCCACTTACTTGTAAGTAGCAATAGCTAACGGGCCTTACGAATTATTTGGATATTTTTATGGTTACAACTTACACTGAACTAATGGCTAGCTGGTCAAAAGGTCCCATAAAATTTTACGCGGACTGTAATTTATAAGTGTTATGAATCACCAGCCCCTTCATGTCCATGTTAACACAATGTACGGTAGATCTCTCAAGAGGTGATCAACTAAACCTTCGCCCACAAGTTGAACCAAATAGGCAGATGCGCTGGTGCTCATCGGTCATTCTTGTCGTTTACTCTCTCGTATGCTCTATCAATGGCTTTAACACATTCTTTGCTGATGGATAGATCCTTACAGAGTACAATGAACCCTCTTCATATTTCACTTTGAACTCGCAAACAGGTAAACTGGTTTCACACATTTGGTTGTAAATATCTCCCCACATAAACCGGACCATAGCAATTCGTGGCTTAAAAAATGTTTCTAGTTGCAGTGATCTCGAGCTGAATTTGGATGAAAAAAAGCACCTGGCACCAATACCAAACCATTCCAGCGTAATAAAATCGTTCTTGAGTATATCCGGATAGCTCTTTGTGACTTTGAATTATTATACCTAGTGATGTTCGTCACTCAGCAGCTAACAACCCTTTCAGTACTATTAGGTAATAGGGTATTCTGTGGAGAAGACAGAGCCACTAAGTATCTGGAAAGCCTAACCAGATAAAAGATCGCTGAAAGCCAACTTGGAGGCCAACTCGGTAAGAGTGCGGATCTCTAGTTATTTTTCAATCCATCGAAAATACCGATGGTAGCGAACCCAGTCCCTCAGCCTTTCTGATGTGCACACTGGATCTGGAAGCCCTAGCTAGTTAGAATTTTCTAGCATAGCCCACTCATATCCCATGTATACTACATCGACCAAGTTGTTTGTTTGTCTTAAAAATCCGTAGTGAGCACTCAAGACAGGACAAACTATTTTCCTTCTGCTTCGGTAAACGATAGGTCATCATAAAAACACATGGTGTTAGGTACAATTTCAGGAATACATCCGTATCTCACGAAGTGAAAAGTTTTGAAAGCGTGTCCCACCTCGGCTGGCGGTTCACGAGAGTAGCAGAAGCACTGGTCCCATCGTTTAAGGGAAACTCTGTGAAGTCATCTTGCTCTTCTTGAAGCTTTTCTATGAACGCAGGTTCTTCCGGGTCAATACCCCCGTAACAAACGGTGCCAACTTCCAGGGATACGCTGGCAGAAGAATCTTTGCCATGGAAAAACCGAGCATCACGTATGGGCAGTAAGGTGGGTTGTTTTGTGCGGATAGTAATTAAGAGGCTGCCATAGTCTTTGGTCTGAAATGCAGAAATGAGACAAAAGTGGTAGGCATATGCTCAACCAATCAGCTTGCGTGGATAGCTTCAGAACGTGAAAGAACGTGAAAGTCAAAGGGTCATCAGGGATTCATTTTCTAGCACCTTCCGGCTACGTTTGGAGTCATTAGGACCACATTTTACAGAATCTGTAGATAATTTTGACGAATAAGAACGTCGGTCGCCAGTGGACCATTAAAATGTGTGGAAAATAACCTAGCTCTTATTTTGAAGTTCAATGAGATGTTTTCGAATTTTTTTTTCCGAATGCAGGTATTCAGACAATCCTTACAAAAAGATGGTGAATGTAAAAACAGGCTTCACAATAAGTGTCACTGCATCCATCTGAATTTAAACAGAGATGATTCTTACACTATGTAACGCTCGCCGTTGCCGCAATATTAGTCTAACGTGTAGCAGAGTATTACACGTACTTCTACCTGTAGATTGCACAACTACAAACGTGTCTATATTTATCGGCTAAAATGGTAGCACATTCGTTCGCATTATATTGGGTCGTACAATTGGCAAACGAGGAGCTAGTTACTGAGAGTGTTTTATCAAAGAGGTGGTTTACTCGGATTATTCAAAGTCAAAGTATACCGGAAGTTTGTAATGCACTACTCATAACGTTGATGAAAATTCGTCGACAGCTCACGACGGGTTTCACCCTTTTTGGGAGCCATCATGTAGGCGTGGTCCTCGAAACATGAAAACAAAATTGCACGAAATTAGCGAAATACACTCATTTGCTAGGTTTCAGGTGAGTCCCTCGAAAAAACAATTTAGTTTGTACATGAGTATACTGAAAATTATTCTAGTCCAAATATTGCTACCGACAAGTTATATTTTTCAATGCCTTCGATAGAATGAATCACCAAAACACAAGCCGACCAACCTGGGGTAACAAGACGGGACCACGAAAATCTACTCCGCACTTACGCTGCACGTATCTTCCTCGATTTGAATAGATATTGACGCACCGCTGGCATTAAGCTGGACCAATCGCCCATCGTCACTAAGCAACACAGGTTCCCGTCCCCCCCGCATCTTCTTGCAATTGATTTTCAGACGCTGGATCCCCACTTCACTTGACAGTTGCAAGAAGACCAACTGATCTTTTGGCATTTGGTATTCGATTTGCTGTAGTTTGGGGAAGGAAACCAGATAAACTTGCCTCCGTAAACTATATATAGGTAATTATCAAGGCTCGCGTGACAGCACATTCTTATTACTGATCGAGTGGAAGTAGTAAGAAATGCGATAATGTTGACGCTGTTGCGTGCCTGTCAAGCGGCCCAAGTCCGTCAGTCCTTTTGAGGCGATCAGAGAGACATATTCTTTCAGTGTTTGATTGTCTTCCATAAATGACCATGATACAGGTGATGGTATTACTTCTCAACGCGCGTCAAACCAATGCTGGATAATTCAGCAATTTTTTCTGATGACCGGGCTGCAGGACTGAAAAGTCATGTGCAATTTCATTGAGGGCTGGCATCCGTTTCCGCATTGCCAGCGACGGTGCATACGGAAAGTCACTTCTACCACCGCTACCATCCTATATCCTCAGTGAGCTAAGGCAGGCCCGGTGAATTCATACTTACCATCATGAAACTCATCAGCTTGTTTGCGTAACGCGCCAAAAAATCTGTGGAACCTTACCATTCAGTCTCGTACTAAAACCAACCAAGTCAATTGCATAATCAAACGATTGATATGTAAACCAGACAGGTGGCTGTTGATCAACTGACAGTTGAGCTTGGTGATGGGCTTGTAACAGTTTCGTCATCATGCGAGGAGACATCATCAGTGCGCGGTTGGGTGAGTGACTCCACCAATTCTGCTTGCGTTTATTTGGTTTCTAAAAGAATTGCTAATATACGCTAAGTGGATGGCTGTCTTGGGATTGTCTGGCACTCAGTTTGCTCGTACTTTTCGGAATTCAGGTTGCGCTGTGATTTGAGTATCGTGCATCTGAGTAGTTCCATTTCAGTAAACCGGTCGGTTTTACTATCAGTGGGCCAAACCAATCGCGTACGTCAAAGCCTTTTGTGTGCTCGCTAGGCGTAGAGAGTTGCGGGGAATGGTTGTGGAGCGAGGCTCTGAACGTTGTCTTTTGGTCAACTCGATAACTGGAGTGTACCTTTTGTGATCACTCGGGTGGCTCTGGGGTGATTGGTTTTGTAGTCTGGTCAGTTGTTCAGTGAGTTAACCCAAACAACCTGGAAGTTCATATAAGCTCTGGTCTGCGCTTTCAATGTTCGCTTGACCTTAAACTCAAGTGACCTCGTATCCAAAATGTGGTCTACAGAAGAGTGTGTTATTCGCGCTACTCTTGGAGCGAATTTGCCTTATTGTTGAAGGCAAATGTAGCTGTACGAAACTGATAAACGCATATCTGATGGACATTTTAGGCCTACTCTTCATTAGTGTTTGCCATCCTGTACTTTTCTTCTGCTGTTCAACAGAAACACGCTTTATCCCAACTGTGAGAGGGAGTTCTTGTCATGGTAGTGAACAGGATGGTAACCATTAACAGTCTGGATGTTCCGAGCTTGAGTGCGAATCCGAGTTGTAGGGGTGGGGGATTATACGCTTAACTCTACAATTGGGACCAGGTCATAGATGCAAAGTGACGGAAAAACTATCCCAAGGAATGCAAAAACTCATGTCAGACAGGAGTTCATTCAATCAGCTGTAGTCCGTCCAAAGTGGCTTCTGCTGAATTCGGTGACTTAATATCCGGTCGGTTCGTTGAGTAGTACGTGATCGGTTGGCGTGTCAATGCCAATCACATGCGGCAATCTTATACCGCCCCAAAAACGACCGAAAGTTGCCTGATTCTGACCAACCTAGGACGGTGGAATTTCCTGCTTTCAGAAGATCCAAAACGTTAGCCACTCCTAGACGTGCCTTTCAGTCGACAACGTGGACCCAAATCCGGCATCTTTTCAACTACCCGAAAATCTGAAAAACTGAAAATTTCCTAACCAAACTTTGTAGAAGCTGAACGAATACGTTTCTATTCAAACAAACGGAAACATTTGGTCGCGGTTCTTCGCTAAGTAGTGTCCCTGTCATAGACCGGAGAACGTTTTGTCTTTATTGGATAGAAAATGCTTCATATATTCCTTTGTCACTTGACAGACAGGGAGATTTCGGAGAAAACGTACCTAGCCTTGAACTGCGGGCTGTAGACTGACATAGATGCTTAGGTTTCCCAATAAGTCAGTGGGTTTAGAAAGACTGGCACTGAAGTTCGAAAATTTACACTTTTAAAATTCAAAACACAGGAAAAACGGCCTTTATTGTTTTCATACTGTGTTGTGTTTTCAAAGTTCTGAAGCTTTCCTCTAAGCTTGAGGTTTTTCAATGTTGACAAAACTTCACCTGTAACCACTTCAGACATTATTACTTACAGTTAGTTCGGAATCTAGTGTCAATTCTGTGTACCAAACTGAGAGTCCGTTGCGAGCGGTTATCACGGCAAATGGCATTTGCTCCATGGTAGGTGCCACACAAGTCTCCAGTCCGCTGAATCGACAGTAGACTGCCAGACCATCGCGCCAATGACCTCCGTTTGGATCAACATAGTAAATACCTGAAAAAGAGGGACAGAGGCCAGTCAGTCAGGGTTAAGTTGGTGTTGTTTGAAATTGGTTTGCGTCCCCGACAAAGTTCTGTGGTCAGGTTATGTTCCTTTCCAGGATGATTGTGAGATCCTGTCAACGTGCGTATGCACATATTGTATGGGTTGATCCAGCTTTAGAAGCCCCTTATACATAGCAGGATTACATGAGAGCTGACAGAAAAGCTTTCGTGTCCTTGACTGGTCGTCGGTACAGCCAAGTAGTCAGATTCTTTTCTTGTGTAAGTGGTGAGGAGAAGTTAAAGATTGAATTTCCAACCTTTCCCTCATTGTTTCATTGTTCTGACTGGAAAGGTTAAACGACTAGGGCAGATGCGGACTAGATGACTCCACATCCACTTGCATCGATCACAGTCTCTCATTCACAGTTTCGGACAGTGACCCACTTGGATTTATCAATCAACGGGCTTTAGCTATTTTGGCCGCACATTCTTACGTATTAAGCTTTGTATTTGCATAGACTGAAGAGTAAACTACCAAGACCCGCAGAGTCGTATAGCTTATGCGGCTAAGTGAGACAGTTTGGTGGACAAATCATATTCCCAATTCCCCGGAGTAGACTCTCAAAGGAGTACAATGTAGGTTTGAACCCTAGATGGCCGATCACCTCTCATGAAAAAATAGTCATCCTTACAAAACAACTAAGAATTATACCATGAGACCTGCTAATCCCAAACTTACAGTACAAATTATAGGGAAAGACCCACGCACCGCCATTCATATAACGCAACTTAGTTCGGTTGTGTTCGGTTGCATAGCGAAAGACGCCATGGACTTTCATGGTTATCAGTTAAGGGAGACGGGAAGAGAACCCAAAAAGTTGAAAACTAATTTCCAACCCAAGGTAATACATTCTACAAAAGCCCCAAATCATCCTACTTTTAAGGTAAGCAAGTAGCTTTTCCATATAGATAACGACCGGAGAAAACATCTGTCTTAGTTGCAACGAAATTTCCAGCAAAAGTACAAGTCAAAGGAAAACGCACCATCCTTCTTTGACGGATAATCTCGTTTCAAATCCGCACATGTTCGAGCTGGATCAAACTGAGTTCCGCTACCGCTGTGCAAACCAACAACCAAGCTGCCAACTCTCCGAAGCGCCTCAAAGACATCTTCGTTCTGGAACGAGAAGTTTTTTTCATTTTAGACCAGTTTTCTAAAATGACATGATACCATTTCACAAGTGTAAGATGAAGTGACAGCTGTGATAATTTGTGTACTAAATCAAAGGTCAAATCCTATGGCGTGGAGTTATTTTACGACCAGCGCTAGCTTGTTATCAGGACTACATCATGTGCAATTTACCTCACCGCGGTTTCCTCACTTCGTCTTGCATCAGAAAAGTGCTCTCAACTTCAATCGAATCGCTCAGTCATATTAAGCAATGAGATGTCAAACTTCAAAATTTGTGCTGCATAAGGTTAGCACCGAAAGTGCGCATTTTCTTCTCCATTCCTTTTCCCTCTCTCACGGTGCACCGTAGTCTTGATAACCAGGTAAAGATTCCACTTTGAGGTTTCACACCATCACTTGTATTATTCTATCCTCAGCAGAGAAACCCCAGCGACGTTTCCCGCATTCCTTTAGAATAGGAATGAAATTCCGAAGTGTACGCATGGATTCGATCTGTCGGCCGTTTGCTCACTTGTGGTCGCTTCCTTTTATCCGTGGCTCGTGAACAAAACAACAGCAAAGAACTCCAAAAATTATAAAGTTCTACAAAACAACAATCCATTTCTACCTTGCCACCCCCCTTCAAAGTTCCAGTTCTGTCCTCTACAAACTGTCCAAGAGGGAGTGACATGGATGTTGCAACTTCGTATATATTTGAAATTGCTTCCCATCTTGAATGACTGCCTTCCAGGTCAACAATTCAAATGGACCGCCCCTTCTTGGACTGGTGTAGTTGAATCCTATTTTCATTTTGAAAGGACATGTATATTTTTCGTTTTCCTTACCGCGCAAATCGTTTATACCGCTTCGGTTATACTATTTTGGTACCAAAACCTTGGTTAACTGCAAATTTGTTTTAATGCATGAGTCTGCGGCTCGCTTTCGATCACGCGTTGACTGTTAATCCATATCGGCTTTGCTTGCATTTTGGAGTACCTCACCGTTTGTCGAAAACCGTTGGGGTTTGTAATTTTGTATTCCGTGTAACTACTTCCATTTTTATAGTAAAGCACATTTGCGTAGCCATTCGTTCGGAGTTTTGCCGGTTTGGTTGCTAACCTTGGTGCTCGTTGCTCAAGAATTCGAAACGGTCTTTACATGGATGCAAATCCCGAGACTACGTACAACTAATCCGAATTGCCCGGCAGATTTCAAGCTGCCTTTCTGAGAGCCGGGTCAGTCGACCGGCACAACCAGAACAGTCACTGAGAGGTCTTTGAGGCGTTGTACGAACCACTCAAGCTTGAAAAGGTTCGTTGGGTAGGACAATTCAGATAAGTTCAGCCCTGGCGGAGTAGTGGTAACACGTTGCGTGCTCGAATTCCAACATAACACTAGAGATGCCCCTGTTTAAGTACAGTAAAACTCGAGCCCCGTGCTTCCTCACTTCGGTGTGTACCTACCAGAATAACCGCACCAGTAAGGCAATGGACTACTCAAAAGAGAATGATTACTTTTACAGGTTCCACAACCATCCACACCGGTTTTAACGCAACTTCATAAGCAGTGTATCCCCACATCCCAAAGACCATGTTTATAAAATTTGAAAGGAACTTAACCTCTCACCGTATTTGAGGCTTTTCTTGAACGTACCGTGATGGAGAGCTCTTGTTCTCGTTCGTCTAGCTGGTTCCCTTCTGATAGGCATGAACACAAGTCACACTCGAAAGAAACCCAGGGCACAGACCAAGCTTTATTGTGATTGATGATGTCACTTTGGTGAAGCTTGAATGCGGACGTAACCAATACAGAAGCATGAACTGAACTGCCCCCGTTTCATTGCCAGTTCACTTCGAGCGCGATGATAGTTCATAGAAATTCATAATACATTCAAGGTTTTGCAATAGAAAGGCAAACTTGTGACGAATTTGTTCCTACTGAGCAGAGGACTTCACATTCACGGTAATCAAGGTTCCCATGGGATAGAGTGTTTGTGTGAACTGGAGAGAATACGCAACATTGACAAACGTTTTTATGGAGTAGAAGGTGAGAAAATTGAGTTTATGTGCAACTCGAAACCTGAATGCCTCCTTTGTAGAACTTGCTTAAGGTAGGCCTTGTGTCGTGTGCCTCCGCGAATGTGGGAAGTAAACTTTATCTCTTAATTTTGACTGACAAGGATATCGATTGATACTTCTCGTACCAGATGCTCAGTTGCTGAGTTGTTTGCCGGTGATGGCAGTCGAACGAGTTGTTCCAAATATGCATCAGAATACATGTTCTTCAGAAGAACAGTGATATACCAACCTTTCTTTTAGATGCTGTTATTCCAGGATAGATTAATCCCTGGTCAAAATCTGCCCACATTCGAATTCGAATCAGACAGACCTCTGATGTAGCATTGTTTCATGAGTCTGTGCTCACAAAACCAGGCCCTAACGTCACGAGGTATCCCTTTAGCGGTGCTGTGGAGCAGCAAAAAGACAGAATAACACTTCGAAACGCCGAACACCTTCTCGGTAAATTCTGTAGGAGTCTGCATGGCAGGTAACGGTCAAGCACATTTCCGAGAACTCAGCAAGGGATCATAAAGAAGACCATGAACAACTCACTTCATCATTTGGATCCGTTTCCTGGCTTGGATCGATTTCATCGTCGGACCAGCGTCGACCTCGACGAAATGGTTGGTCGGACTATAGGAACGGGTGAAAAATTTCACATCGGAATAAGAATGCAACGTAAGACAGGTAGTAACACGAACAAAACCACACTGGTCCTAGAAAGAGAGAGCTATGAGCAACGCAAGACACAAAGACGTCAGAAAAGCATAAACTGCTGGAAAGTTTGATTAATAGCTGAGGAATGGGGTGACAGACGATACAACCGGATCAGATCATTTTCACGTTCCGACGAGCATGCTCTTTGCGTAATAAAACAATGAGAGTGGGGACCGCAATGCGTCTAATTTTTGTTGTGTTTGTACTTTAGTTGACCGGATGGGGAATCACTGAGGAATTTCAGTTCTTTCAAAGAGTTCGTTTGTCAACGTGCCCTTTATGACCTTATGGGTACATTTTTTGCTTCGAAGTCGTAGGGACGCGTCGTTACTTGAGTCTTCGTGTTATGCTGAAACGATCGAGTGCAGACTGTCTTTCGAGGTGTTCCCCTTGGTGACGGATTTTCACACTGGAATAAGTACCAAAAACACTCCGAAATTGGTACTCCCTGGGGTCTTGACTCTCTTGAGAATGACGCTGGCAGAGAGGACAAGTTGGGTGGGAAAATAAACGAATATAGCCTGCAGAAGTCCCTTCACACAAAATTCCTCCTAACTTCAACGCAGTTATCGAAATGAAACCAGGAACGAGTCGGGGAACTCCGTTTGCTAGACGGTGTAAGACTGTGCATTAAATTTACAATCAGTGTGAGTCAATAGATAAAAGCATTGCCGATGTTCTAGGATGAAAAACCGCGTTTTGCAAGATCGCAAATATTCTTCCTGGAATCTGGCAAACTGCTGGTCTGTCTACTACTCTAAATCCGATACAAAGCCAAGTAATCACCTGGAAAGCTACACGAACCATTAAAATGGCTACGGTGATTGACCGTGAATCGCGAAAGCATCCGTTTCCCATTTTTGTTCTCAGATGTGGGTTTCTTATGTACAGCAAAGGTTGGATTTGTAGTGTAATATGACAGAAAAACACCGACATTGTCCCTTCCTCTGAAATGCTGTCTAGATAAAGGCTTCTTGTAAACAGGGCATTCTGAGTCACTGTTACATTGTGCACATACATGCCAGCTATCTCCTGAGAAGGCGCAGAGGGCTAAAAGTTGGGGGGTTTGGTGTGGTAGGAAGGACGACAGAATAGTGCGATCGTTGCATTTTGTCAATAGCCCTCAAGGAACCGATTTTTCATTTCCCAACAACAACGAAACCAAAAATGTTGAGTCAGATTCAGATTAAGTGGGAGGTCAACCAGAGAAACAAACACAATATGCTTACCATAACCTCTGTTTCGCTGTCTCGCGGTCGGCTGAATAAATGAGTGTAATCGGTTTTGAACTCTCCTGGAGCACCGGGAAGCCCCTGATTGCCAAATGGAAATTTACATAGTTAGTTCGTAGCACAGGAGATAATGGAGGCATCTAGTCAATCGTGGATGCTATGTATATTCAGTTGTGCAATAGTTTAGGAGGTTCACTAAACTGACAAGCGGTTCTTTATCTTGCAGTGCAATGTTTCTCAGGCACTTTGGCGCTGCAAACATTTTTACGCCCATCCAGTGGACAGTGATCTTTGAGTTTCCGGTTAATTCGTCTTCCGTTTAATTAGGCATCCAGTTTATTAGTCATTCTGGTCTTTCTGGTGGCGTGAATTGTTGACTTCTTACTCCGCCAATTTATGAGTCCTCAGAATGTGAGGCGCCGTTTCTTGCCAGACCATTTCGATCAAGAAGGTATACTCGTTAGTTTTTTGTCTAAAGTCGGGGCTGGGTATTCAGAACTAGACCTGATCAAGGAATAGAATACTTTCCAGCTGAATGCATTGAAGAAATCCCGGACTTATGACCAGGAAAACCGCATGCGGAGTAAGCTGCCAGTGTCCGGTACGATTTTTTTATCAATTAACATGAGGTACGAAGGAGTACATTCACGGATACGTATGCGATACAATTGGTTTGAGGAATTATTGGGACCAGTCGTCATACGGCCCACATAAAACAATAAGTTTGACGGAAACTTGGGAACTGCGCCTACTTGATGAGCCCCAAGAAGAGCGAAACCATTTGTAGGCTGTCGAAGAGCTCCCAGCAACCTTGTGAGTAGTTTCCCTTATGAAAATATACCCTTCAATGAACTATACAGCTTCTCTTCAGCCGAGCATCACTCCGCCTCCCCGTCGGGTATCAACGCGTCCCTGAGGTTTTAAAACTCTTCTGAAAACGATATCAACACCCTGTGAAGGCTAGTGGTCTACTCTACCATGTGTCGCAGTTTGAAACGACCTAGAAGAAGGGGTTTTGGCAAATGTATTGTTTGCCACACGAGCACAAAGCTTCCCAATTGCAGACAATGCTCAGTGCACACCAACTTTAATTTTCCGACGCGAGATACCGTACAAAGTTGTTATCTACTTAGATGTCAAGGTTACCACACTGTTTTCACGTCCAACACTGACGATAGGCCCTAGGATGTTATGACACCGGCTAGTAACCTACCGGACAGTTATTCTTGTTCAAACCTTGAGAGTATGGCACAAAGCCCTTCTTTCCTAGAGAGCTATATCTTGCTTGAAACGAAGGCTGGATACATCTGACAATATATCTGTCCAAGATTAGTCCGTCTGACTGTGCCACATGCTCGTACGTACTAAGTACTATCCAATAAGAACTGTACGTGATGTCGTTGTCTCAGCCTGTCCAAATGCCGAGTTATTTTAATCCATTCAGACATTTAGACACACTGAAATCCATTCGAAACTAGGAGCTAGTTTACGTACTCGAAATCTCTCTGCAAACACTAAAACCGGTTCTCAGAAAGTGTGACATGCCTCTTCGCCTACTGTCGATGGCTTCATTTCGGTAGATTTTTTCTTGGCGTCGGGCTTTATGGTCCTATAGGTCTCAAAAGCTGGCTGCTAAACACTTTTAGTGCTAAACACTGTGCTGTAACCAGAAGGATCAGTCGGCAACACTCCCAAAAGTCGCTTCTTGTAAAGGATGGAAGAACAGAGGTGCACTGACATTTGCATTCCTATGGACCAGAATAACGACGGACAAGATAGCTTGTTGATTAAGGTGCGAACGAACAAGCCTGATCGTGGTCAGAATCTAACCTCTGAGAGCTCCTGTCTAGGCTTGAACGATCTTACACTATCACAGCCTCCCTCTTGTTTCCTGCGGGTGGCATAGAAGCTAAGTACAGACACGGTATTGCAGCCGAATTATTATTTTAACAGCGGATGTGAATCTTGGAACTTCTGAGATGAAAACTGGTAGCTGCATGATCAAAATTTATATACGCCCAGAGATCGGTGGTCTTTTCCTCCAAATTAATAAAGACGATTACCATAAAGAATTAACAGACTCATCAATACACAGGCGTAATTTCGTTATTCGGAGCTGAGAATATTGTTCAAGTTATGGAAGATAATGAAATGGCTAACTTACTGACATTCCTGGTGGTCCGTCGGGTCCCGTTGGCCCTGGATCCCCGGGGGGTCCCTGAGGACCTGGAGGTCCCTAAGAAGAAATGAAGTATGGAACATGGGAACAATGCGCCAACACTACATGCAAGTCTTGATGCCCGAAATATTAAGGTGTCCTCTTTAATAGCAGCTGCTACGCCCAGTCTGGCAGTCCTCGTGGCATGAGGTTATTCCTTCAGTTGACGTGCATTACGCTGAAAGCCAGTACAGTGTTCAATCGGATCTGTTTTTTTCTCAAACTAAACAACTTTGCACAGTCGTCTTTTTCCACTAGTACAGTGTCAATCGGATCTGTTTTTTTCTCAAATTAAACAACTTTGCACAGTCGTCTTTTTCCACTTCAGGTTAGGAGTACTTGAAATTTCATCCGGCAACTTGAAGCACATGAAAAGGTGATCAAAACTTTGTGGAAAACACAATCAAACGAACATATACATTGTGTTTTGTCACTCCAATCATGGCTCTCTTTATTAGACCAGCAGTTCCGATCAATTTTGGCTTGCAGCTGTTGTGCCGTTTCGGTTAGTTTCGTGTAAAACGCAGGGTATTCCGCAAACTAAACCTGACCCAACCGGTAAGGTGACCAGTTTTTATGTAAACCTACTGATCTCCTGTACTGCTGCCCGATTCCCAAGCTAAGCAAAAAACACATCCGTTTGAGCACCAGTCCATCTTATTCAATGAGAAGCGCAATCCACTACTGTTCTCCTAGTCGCGACCCTCCAAAGTGCAAATGTCTTTCCAGCCATTAACTGCCTTCCTAGGCAAGTGTACTTACTTCGCCAAAGGGATGTTTGAATCTTTGCAGAGGGATGATTAATGCACCCAATGCTGGTTTGAACCTACAAAGTCTTTGCACACATGTACTACAAAGGGAAGAAAGGTTACTTGTCCCCTCCACTCGTCCTGCTCCCACCTCGAGTACAATCTCGGTTTTGTTAGATAGCTTCATGGACTCTAGAGAGACAAACGTCCTGGACGGTCCAGTTTCGGAAGGAATCGTTGCTTCGGTGCGTGGAAAACGTTCTGTAAGCAAAGAAAGGGAGCTCTATCACTTACCATTGGCCCAAGTTGTCCTGCCGGACCGGGGCCTCCCATGACGCCCCGCTCACCTTCTGGACCACCGGGACCCTGCAACAGCACAAAAAAGAGTCACAGTTGAGAGGAAACCCGTAGTTGTTAGAACAGCGAAGGTTTGTGTTAGAAGCTCTGTTCAGTATTCAGCAATGTACAAAAGGACCAGGGCAAGTGTAGAATGGTTATTTAAAATAATACAGAAATAAAATATAAAGATAAAATAGTCATACCCCTGGATAGAGAACACTTCAGTTGGCCCAGATAATCACCAAGAGCTATTTACGAAATAATCATCAATATGAGGAAAATTTATTCTACGAAACAGAGGCACATGAATCCACCCCATTAGATGTAATACACCCGTCATTAGGTTGCTGACAGCTAACGACCGGTTTCACACTTCTTGGGGCTCATCAGGTAGGCACAGCTCCGTCCACCTTATGTTCTACTTGAACTCAAAATGCACGAAATTAGCGAAATACACTCATTTGTAAACCAACTTGGTTTTGCGGGATACCCAGTTGAATCTCTCTTTTATGATGTTTTTAAGCAACTGAATGTGCTGCACCAGGCAGCCTTGTGTTCCGTTTGGTATGATGTCCGAGACATCGCGATACATTGTAGACACGTAATACACAACTCATGAGGTTGCACTGGACACAGTGGCCTTTCAAAAACAGATGACCGGTCTTCACACGACAAATAACCACTGACAGTTGAACACTGCCATCTCAGTCAAATGAATAGCAGACCGGCTAACAGAAAAGTTCCTAGGGTGGCGCCTAGGTGTCTAATTACTGACCAGATGAGGCTTAAGTTCCTTTAACTAGTGAACTCTTAGGGGTGACAAATACGTTCCATGAGTTTTTTCAGCGATTCAACGTGAGATGAACTGAATTCGTTTAGGATCGCTCACGATTTCGCTTACCATCACCTTCCTACCGTCTTTGAATGAAAACAGGTAGAGCGACATCAGGACCTTGTACCGTACGGCATCTTGACACGGTGAGATCTAGGTTGGTCCGGACTTGCCGTGGAGTTTGTGAAACAAGACATCTACCATAACCATACGTGGCAGTGGCGCTGCTGCCTTTGCAGATGTGTTTAGCCTATCGCTCTATCCTTTAAATTTTGTATATGGGTCTGCTGTCTACCTCAGCATCTGGGTTTTCGATACTCGATACACGCACAAGTTGAAATAATGTTAGGAATCTCCAAGCTGCGGCTGTAGCGGCAGCTTCTATCTCAGCCGCAAGCCCACATAACCACACTTGAAAAGAAATGCTCTTTCAAGTTTACTTCAGGGGTTTGTAATGTGCCGACGGATGTCAAACTGCGCGCCATCATTAATCACAATCTCTTTTGTCTACTTTCAGAAGCGGCGGCGGTGACGATGGTAGAAAATGAAGACATCCCTGAATACCGGACAGATGAGATTGATCGGCCTCCCCAGTGACTACCACCGTCTGATGTTTATATGCTTGTACCCCTGTTCCCCCGTTGTTGACACTCTCTCCTGAATCCCCACGTGTTCAGAGGTTCGGAGAATAAACCGTTGAACCTACGCTCTTGTGCTTCTATGTGGACAGTTGGCGAGAGTTACCAACTTACTGTTACATCCAACTAATACGTCGCATTCTCCTTTTGAGCCCATCCGGCTGTTATTCTCAGAACATCCACACAGTGAATTTGGATACTTTTATACACGCAGACATATTACATAATTGGCGACCACGCCAAGATGATTACCACACACAGAGTAGACCTACCACAAAGATCCTGGCTCTACATATGTGCATACAGGCCTCAGAACTAGCACGTTGCTCACACACACACGGTAGACGCAGCCCCAAATACAGCAACCCCTGTACACACTCACCAACTTAACGCACCACACCACTAGCACCGGCCGGTTCACGTAGGCCATGGTACACCGGGGACGGTGTTCTTCAAAAAGGAGGCCAGTGTAGTATACGGTGTCTGTCATTTTGATTGATTTATATGTAAGTATTGGTGATGTACAACCTTGCTTACTGGGCTTTGGCTCACGAGCTTTGTTTCTGTTTCCCATCCACAGAAATTGTCGTGAACACCTGCCTTCGGAGAATCACTGTCCCCTGGTGCTTCCATAGCGTGCATATTACAGGTTATATGTTACATTCGCAGGTATTTTGAGACGCGTCGGGTAAGTTGCAAGGATCTGTAGATGCACAGCTAGCTCAATTCGACGCGTTTCGTCCGACTTTAGTTCGTGGAGCTTATGGTAGATTGAAACTGCGTCCTGCTTTATTCACAACTTATAAACAGGACTTAAACTTACGTTGTCGTGTGGTGTGTGATTGGAAAATTCCTTCAGGTCTAGCTTAAGAGTGATCGCCTTTGAAAGATTTCCTAGCTCTAACGACACAGCTGCCTTTAGTAACCCTTGATCAGTAACCGTAACAGTAGTCTTGAACAAAAACGCGCCTATTTCTATGAACAGTGATATGGTCTGTTTGGGTCTATGCCTGCGTTAACGATTGGGCAAAACAGGTACTGAGATAGTGTAGAAGTCACTTATCAGATCACACGTCACAAACCACGTGAGGATTCCTGTCCCACTTGCAACCTCAGCCGACAACTTGCAAAAAATCTACAATTTCCCATCCATTTTTGTTTACACGGCTACCACTTGCGTAACGCGCCAGGCTTATGAACTTCAACACATCAGGTCAAGTTGTATTCCTGTCCGTGCAAGCATCAAACACGACGGGACACCCCTTTCTTCACACTGCACAAAAAAGGACATACAACCAGGCCCAGCACACACTCACGCGCGCACAGGACAGGAATTGTCACGTGGTTCGAGTGTTTGTGGCGCGTGGTCTGATGAGTGAACTCTACAATAGCAACCTAAAGCGTGGAAGCTAATTCTAGCAATGAACTGTCTGTCTCCGTTGTCTGATCGGCCTCCGCAAGAGCTATCGGCTAAGGACACGAGCCCACGACATCCGAATTGTTCTGACTACGTCCACTTGAACGTTGTACATACACCTGAAATAAGATGTGGATAATAACTTATTTTCCAAAAAATGCACACAAATACGGACTACATTTTTATCATTTTTGTGATATTCTTCGAAGATCTTTGCTCTTTTAGGGTTGAGCGAGTGTGAGTTAACGCTCTATCTGTGTTCATGTACGTATCTTTGCGGTATATATGCGTCATGGGAGTCGCGATGATTCCGTTCTGCTGTGCGTCGAATCTGGGGCTGTATGTGCCTCGGCTTCATTCACGAATGTAGATTTTGGAACCCTCAATAGGGCATATCTAGTCAAATGCGGATTGAGAATGTACCGTCTGACCTCACGATCTAATTTCGTTCGTCTGTGTTCCGGTTGGTGTATCGTTGCTTATATAGTCCTTCATAACCACTGTCGACTGCCAGCAACAGAGGAACTAAACTTTCACTTCTTGTATTCAGGTTCAAATCAACAACGACTCACTGACTGTAGAAGAGGTATCTACATTTGAGGACATTTTAGAAGCTCTACGTGGGTGACACTAATCGAGGTATTCTGACACGGTGCTCATCCCACTCACCCCAAAGTGCTCCAGAACACATGAGGCGATTATTTTGGACATGAAACAACAGTAATCGAAATGAACCTATTCTGAGTCCTTCAGAACAGTGGCTATGAATGATAAGTAAGTCCAGAGCACATTCGCACACCATCATTCTCGCCAGTCAGTCGCACGCATGTCTTCGTAACGGAGACTAACTAATTAATGGTGTGAGCAGATGTCAAAACTTACCGCAGGACCCTGTGGACCAGCCGATCCAGGTGGTCCTGGTACTCCCGGAGGTCCACCAATTCCAGGAGGTCCCATAAGTCCCATGTTCCCGGGTGCTCCTCGGTCTCCGGGTTCACCGGGTTTTCCATCCGGCCCAACTGCACCTCTTGGGCCTGGAATACCACTATCGCCTGGCTCCCCGCGTTTCCCCTGGAATCCCTTTTCACCTGGTTTTCCCGTCGCACCAGTGGGTCCTGATTTACCGACAACCCCTGGAGGACCTTGAATACCTGGAGCGCCTCGCATTCCACGTGGTCCTGCAGGTCCACGTTCCCCTGGTGGCCCACGTACGCCTGCTGCGCCCGGAGGCCCCATAATACCACGGTTTCCATCCGGACCTTGAGCCCCCTCCTCTCCTCGTGGACCGCGCTTGCCAGATGGGCCGGGTTTACCAGGTGGACCGGGGAGTCCCATTCGGCCTGCAGGACCCATGTTTCCTGGAGGACCCTGATGTATTGATAAGGATAAACATGATAAACTCAAGTGAAGTACTCGTACCTGGCGTTAAGCTGCACTGTAAAATACTAACGTGTTCTCGTCAGGTATAGGGATGAATATTCCAACAATAGGTTTACTCACCATGAGACCAGGTTTTCCAGCGAGTCCGACTATTCCAGTGGGTCCAATAGGCCCCGGAGGCCCACGGGGTCCTTGTTCACCGGCCGGTCCAATTGGTCCAACAATACCCTATAGGTAGAGTTGAAAAGAGTAGAATCACTAAAACATGTTTCATCAGCAGGCCGATCCCCAATCATCTCATAGAGCCTAGTTTGAGATACTCTGAAAAGCACTCATTAGTAGTAACGGTTTTTCAGCGAAAATAGTAGTTATTACCTAACAAACATTGAGAAGTTACCACCTTGGGTAACTGACATTTGGGCAGTTCTGGTGGGCTTATGTTGTCACGTGGGCTCATCACCATCATCGACAGGATGACGTCAGTGTTCAACACTGATGCTTCGCTGCCGTACAGCCATGATTTATTTGAAAGCCTTATTGTGAAGAAAACAATAAAAGTAGAAGGATGATGGACTCAGTGCTAGTCTACTACGAGTATTTCGAAGTACTCAAATCTCCAGACACACCTTTAGGTGATCTGTATAGAAACTGACGACAAAAACGCCGCGGACATGGGCCAGTGGCCATATCTTGCAGCGCCTCCAACCAGGCGAAGTGGGGATTATTCGGCCCCCACGTGGGCTCATCACCATCATCGACAGGATGACGTCAGTGTTCAACACTGATGCTTCGCTGCCGTACAGCCATGATTTATTTGAAAGCCTTATTGTGAAGAAAACAATAAAAGTGGGCGGGGAAGGGACTTAGTACCGGCTTACTACAAACATTTCTTTCTTAAAGTCACTCGTTCAGGCAATCTGGATAGCAGGTGACAACGGGAACGCCACTAGCATCGATTAGCAGCCACATCTTGAAGCGTCTCCAACCAAGCGCAGTGGCGATCACGTGGTCCCATCCTGGAAGGTGAGTAGCCCCGACAGCACCCAAACGTTCCATAATCTCTTTCATACCCCTCTGCCAGGTCAAGGGTTGACCACATCTCCGCTTCCGTCACTCTGAATTGGGCACGGAGAATAGAACCTCCTTTGATAAAAGATGGTTCGGTATGCGCAGGTATACGCAGGGTATACGCAATGCGTGGCCCGACCAACTCAGCTGTACACATTCTTCAATGGAAGCCCCCGTTGAACAACCGAAAACTCACTTTCCAGTTGCCTCATGATTGATTCACTGGCACCAACCCACACGAGCTATGGTTCTGAGGCAAGGGTGATCGAAGACCTGAAGATATCTCAGTTACGCTACTCGAACAGGCCCATTCTTACAGCCATACAACAAAAAGCCCGTACTATAGCCTGCTACACACGTCGCTTGAGATTAAGGGATATACCGCCTTGACGTCATAGGTGTCTCAAATTAACAAACGCGACCCGAGCCTTGCAGATGTATTGTACTGTACCACTACAGTCAGAACAAGAACAACTTCCCAGATAGGTAAAACGCCCCCTGGATTGCAAGTGGCGTGCATGTTCAGCAGCATGACCTTACACTTTGTGGGTGCAAAGTGCACGACTTTGTTCAGTTCAGCCAGAAACACCTGTACCTTTTCCTCTCCGAAGATGAGAACACTATTGTCTGCATATTCCAGATCAACAAAGTTTTCGTCAGAGGCTATTTGAACACCAGGGTTTTGAAGACCTTCCAGCTTTCGTCTCATTATTTCATCGATCACGGAATTAAATAGAAATGGAAAGAGTGGACATCCATGACGGTTACTGCTTTTGTATGAAAGCTTTTGGAGAGTTCTCCGTACACCCTCCCACTGTTATGAAGTCTGTGTTAAAATCACGCATGTCGTATAATTTGCGTGTACGTGTGCACGTTTGACACCTGGCTGTGCGATTGAATTTTCAGGTCATTTGTGACCTCTCCCACGTGACCTCACCTTTTGAGGCCTGAATCAGGCCGGACTAAATATCAGGCAATGGATCCACCACTTGAATCGTGGTGCTATCTGAATGTCCGTTGATTGTGCAGTGTCCCTTTGCGTATGTGCCGAGAATTTGCTGTAGCATTAAAGTTCGACCGATGGCCTTCAGTTATTCTGTGGAGTGCGATCGCGAATTCATGCTGCAACTTGTTTACTTCGTTCGCACTACATGGATTGGCCAGGTGGTGGTTCCAACTTTCAAGTGTCTCTATTGTTTTGTCCAGTGTAAACTGAGTCACAGTCGGTTCAGCCTTCCTTCCAGACACGGTTGCCATTGAGACTATACGGGTCTTTCGTGCTAGCTGGTAATCCTTTTTGATGTGTTGTCCATTCGGAAAGTGACATCGGTGCTGGCGCGGTAGTGCTGAATGAGTTGTTGTTACAGAATTCATATCAACCCCCAATCAGGCTGCCATACCTGGTTTGGCTAGTTGAAGTATACTTTCGACCAAGTGTTCCGGGTACTCCTTAGTTCTCAGTTTTTATACAGTACGAATAACATCGGTTTCAGCCGGGGTCGTGTTACTACGGATCCTGGTTGTTCAACGGACCAGCGTTCGAACCAGTGTCCTCTCCAAACTCGAAGGATGAGCAGAAATGAAGTTTAAGTAGCGATCTGACTGGTTGGGCTGCACACTTAGTGTGGTCGTAATCCCGAAAAGTATATCGCAATCAAGTTGTGCTGAGAGTAGATTGACTAGAATAGGGGAAATGGAGGAAGAACCCCGTCAGCCTTTTGCTAAATCTGGGTTTGAACTTGAATATGGCAGAGCATAGGTAGAATTCCAGTCCTTCCATAATATCCTGTACGGCGAAGAGGGTACAGCAACTTAAGGTAACGTCGTCCCCCAGAAGATGGCTTGTGTGGCGCTATTTATCGAAGATGGGCTGAACTGACAAATCAGTCGTCGTCATTGAAATTTAGTTGTTTTGCTGCAGTGCTATGACATGACTCACCGTTTCCCATTGGCTGCAGTAGCGTCACGAAGGGTTGGATAACCACTTCAACCAAAAATCGAACGCAACACAGTAACTTGTTTGTGTTTTTTGTTCGTCCAGATAATCCGCAGGTATTGTCCCAGCTTTAGGTTTGATGCTTTCAAGAAAGAGTGGCACGCAGCTTGACTGTGTTCAACATCACCAGCCTTTTGAAAAACCCAAGTAACTAAGCTCTCCCAACTCATCGGAACACACATCAGAAGTGACTTACGAATAACGGTTCCCTTTTAAAGTGTTTTTGACTGACTTCATTTATATGCCAATTCCAGCCTCCTTGTGTTTGTTTGTTTGTTATCACATTTGATGTTCAGTCAGAACTTCTGCGGTATCAGGGTCACATGCATATTGTAGGCGTCCAATTCAACCAAGCCGTCTGAAGTTGGATGCTGAATGTGCAATCAACTTTTCCACAGCAGTTAACTACCAGTTCCAAACTTATCCTTTGGAAACTGGAGTCACAGGCTAGTTAAAGTCTACCTGAACTGTAAAAGTTTTGTGCTTAAATCTAACAGAAACTGAACAACCTTAGGAGTGTTTTATAACTACAGAGGAACAGAATGGAATCAGTAAGCACCATGCATTCTTTCTGAAACTTTGCTACACTGATCACGCAGCGTTTTGTCAGAGAAAAAATATCAGGATTGCAGTGGGTGGTGTACAGTCGAGATGGCTAAACTATAACAACTGATAACTTATCATTTACCTGTGGTCCAGGGCTCCCACGCTCTCCTTTCGGACCTGCAGGTCCGGGAGGTCCCGGTGGTCCAGTTGTTCCAGGTGGACCAGATAGACCAGGCTCCCCTGTATCACCCTTGGCTCCATGTCTTCCGGATGGACCTGGTGGGCCTGGACGACCACGTTCACCATCTGCACCTGCTGGACCCGGTGACCCCGGTGCCCCTGCTGCACCTTGATCACCTTGTTCGCCTGGCTTTCCTCGGTCGCCTTGACGACCAGGCAGTCCAGGAAGGCCCTTCGGACCCGCAGGACCTTGAACGCCTTTGCGTCCCAAGGCACCTGGTTCACCCCGACTTCCAATTGGTCCTTGTTCACCTTTGAGACCTTTCATGCCCACTGGACCAGGCGGACCTGGCATTCCAGGCTTTCCGATCTCACCTGGAATTCCTTGTTCTCCTTGATCCCCAGCTACTCCCTTGTCCCCTTGGGGGCCACGGAGACCGGGTTGACCTTTGTTTCCGGGAGGACCCTGCTGTCCCATTGGTCCAATATTTCCATCAGACCCTCGCTCTCCTGGTGGTCCAATCGGTCCCGGGTCACCGCGCGGACCAGTTTCGCCTTGTTCCCCCTTTTGTCCACGTGGACCACGGATGCCAGCATTACCTGGAGGTCCATTCAGTCCAACAGGTCCAGCCTCGCCCATGGTACCTTTTTCTCCCCGATCTCCTTTAGGTCCGTCGTTACCGATGGGGCCGGCTGTGCCTTTTGGACCCTGTCGACCTGGCGGACCCATGGGTCCCATTTGTCCAGGCGCACCGCGCTCTCCCTGTAAGAATGAATCAAGTCGGACACATGATGAACCCGAATGAAAAATACTCCCTCTTTTAAACTAAGTAAAGATAGGCAACATAAAATGTCCATGAGTTTCGTGGATAAAAAAGATAGCTGTGAAGATTGCTGCTCGCACAGCAATTGTTGTTGTCCGATATTCACCGGACTACTATAATTGTGAACGTAGTTTAGTCTGTAACCAACCACTGCATTGTTATCAGCTTGAGAAAGCCGCACATGGTTGTAGGACACTTTCTGAACCAGTCGCGCACGTGTCAGCTCTACCCATTTTCAAGTGTCCTCACTGACGGAAAACTCAGAGCCCTTCGGATGGTGAACGAGCACGTCATCCTCCACACCAAGTCAACGTCAAGGAAGGCCCCATTTTTGTATCGCATTTATACCTCACCTCCCAAATAGCCTTTGTTGATGCTTGTTTTAAACGGACATGTACGCGCAATCCGATTTGGCAAGTGACACGAGTTGCTGCATTGCACCGACTGTGCCTTATCTCCCGAACTACTGATCGTTTCCTGCGCCGTCATCTCTGCATACTATCTATTTACTACTACACCCTATTCACTACTACACCTACTACACCTGTCCGTATCTAAAGCCCTGTTGCCTCACTGACCATTTTTCCACTTCTGCCGATTGTGCTATTATTGATTAACCAGTTCTTGACAGCCCTCGTGCGTCTATTCCTACTGCCCAGTGAATACGAACTGCGTACAGACGGATAGCTGTGATCGTCCTATGAGATCCTTAGCTGTCCATATCTTACAGTAAACATAAACAGGACAGCAACAGCAGCAACAGTGAGTCAGAAGATACTGATGGAAATGCAGACGGAAGTTGATGCTTAGCTCTTTTTCTTCTATTGGTGGATAAATGACGGGTCTAATGCCCTCTTGCACAAGGTTCTACCATGTAGTTCCTTTGCGGCTTTTGATTCTGATGATAAACGAGGCAACTTCGTTGTATCTCGAGAACACTGTTGAGACTAATCTGCCGACAGCAGTTGCTGAGTAGATTGCAAGAGGGACAACACAAGATTCTCTGTAAGACAGACCTTTTGAATGGTGAACATATCCTGTGAGAGTACCATGAGCAGGCTTGGACAGTTTTTTCCATGCATTCATTCCAGTCGCTTCCATCCTTAGACTCTTGACACCTGTTGTCCCAATCCCCTTTTGTTACTAACCCAAATTAAGCTCATTCGGTCCATCTCGCAACCTGTGTCGATCGATTCGATGTGTCTACGGGTCAAAGGGTCGCGCACAACCAATGACCTCATGCAACCCTTTTGTGTGATCCAGCCACTTAGTTACTGGTCTTTGTTTTTTATTCCCATCGGTTCGCTGACATTCACAGCCCTACCGGATGCTTAATTGCCTTTCTCATTGTTTATGGCGTTTTGGTGTTAACCGTTTTGTCGTGCTGTTTTCAGCATCATTAGACTCGGATGACTCACATGGGAGGTCTGATTCCTACTACTATTTGATAGTGTTAAATACTGAGACAGACTTGTTTTAGTTCGACTTAAACTCTCTGTTTGCGTATTACTCAGTACCGGTCGGGTTCCAGCAACTGACAATATGCTCCACCTGCGACTTCTATTAATGTACTGGGGTTGGTTGGTTTCTCACTATCCGCCATGACAGAGAAATTAAAGCTTGGCCGCAGAACGTTAAACCACAATTTGAAGACCCTTCCAACCCAGAGAAATCGATAATCGGAGCGTTCAGACCAAAGCCATTGGTACGAATTTACTGCATCACATGAAGCCCATAGTTTCGGGGTGGGTGGCTCATGATTATGGGCAACACTTTGAAGCAATCCACCAAACTGTTCCCGAGTTTTATCGTTGAAACAAGGTGCTTTTTTTATCCTACCCACCGGTCATGGAGGACGCCATCAGATATTGGTTGCCCACACAATACGCTATAATGATCACGGAGAAAAATAGTTAGGAAAATACACGCGTTTTCACGCGTGTATTCAGCTGGAACTCAATTCAGTCTCCCGTTAAGACCGAATTGGTGAGTAAATGAGTGCACTTTGCGAAGTTCGTACAATTGTGGTACAAGCAGAACATAAGGTTCAAAGAGACTTGAGAACTGTTCCTACCGGATGAACTCCAAAAAGAATAAAACCGGTCTGCCGAAGAGTTTCCAACAATCTTATAAATATTGCCCTTCAGAGTGGAAAAGGTCCTACATTTGAGCACTTTTTTCGTACCGGTATGTAGAGCAGAAGGCTACACCCCACGCTTCTTGTATGATGTCCTCAAGAAGATACAGTTCTGAAGGACTGGTCTGTGGAAGATGGCGTTTGCCATATCCATTCGACCTACACTTTGTTGGCCAGTTGCAGTTATTCCTCCTCTCCAGCGAAACCGGTTCTCACTACGGAGCAACCACTTTCAAGAATAAGTGAATTTCACTAGCTTTGGTTCAAACAGTGACCAACCAAGCCACCGGTTCGCTAGTTGCGCACATCTCTCTATTCGCTAACGGGAACTGCAGCATTTCTACACTTAATTTAGTGTACTTTCGACTAGTACATGTAGGCAGCCATCTACTAGATGTGGGCTTGACTCTCTTGAGAGATCTCAGTCGTTAGTTGGCTGTACAATTGATATACAGCTATCGGCGCACTTTTAACTAATGGTCCACAGCGCACGCCAACGCAGTCCAGCATACGACTCAGTCGAGTGTTCCAGTCCAGCACGATAGTCGGAAGAGAAATCGGTAGCGCGTAATGTCAAATACAGCTAAAAGCGTTGGGAAACATGAATTTTATGTAACAATTTGGATTGCATTTGGACATAAGAAATCCTGGTCATCTCCACTGTTGAACTAAGATACTGGAGTTTGATTACTTTGATCAAACATTTGTGACCTTGAAAAGTATTTATCCTCGAACGTTAGCTCATTAGTCGTCGAAGCCTGCGGAATAGTGGGCTCCTCACCTCAATACGGTCAACGATAAGAAGGTTTTCTCCCGCTTTCGGGTAATCATACCGGCTTCGGTTTGACGCTCCTACCAGATTGGCAGTATCCACAAACTGACTGGATGGTTGAGCAGCGTGCAAGTAACATGGTAGCACAGTGTAGGGAGCTACGCCGCGCGCACTTTGATTAAACTTAGATGGTTAAATTTACAGTCCCTTTCTCGTCCTGGCGCCAGTATTCTCGCGACTTGAGCTTATCATTTATCAAGGTTCATCGGTACCGCATCGTCCATCCTTCATCGGTTCCGCGGCCGTGCCGCGATTTTACCATAGGACATCTGACATGCAAGGTATGCGTAGTACTACATCTTCGCCAAAGCGCCCTGAATTATAACGTCTAAACAGATGGGCACCGTTAGGTGGCTCAACGAGTTGGAAGACACTGTCCTGGCAATCCCAATGGACTGACCAGCCTGTAAGGACTCTTGAAAAATGTAAAATCGATTTTAGCGACATACACTCATTTGCAAACTAATTTGGTTTTGCGGAAGACTCAACCGGAACCCAGCTGAGTCTCTTGTTTGTGATGTTTCCAGGCAACTGAATGTGCTGCACCAGGCCACCTCATGTTTCAGTCGCTACGATATTCGAGATATCGCGACACAAACATATTTGTGATGCACTAATCACACGGTTGCTGATAATTCGTCGACAGCCCACTACCGGTCTCGTCCTTCTTGGGGCTCGTCAGGTAGGTGCAGTCTCCAGGTTTGTGTCAACCTTATGTTTTACTTGAAACCAAATTGCACGAAATTAGCGAAATACACTCATTTGCAAACAAAGTTGGTTTTGCGAAAGACTCACGTATAATCCAGCTGAACCTCTCGTTTGTGATATTTCTAGGCATAGCAAATATATGTACCGCGATCGTGGACTGTCGACGAATTTTCAGCAACCTTATGAGTAGTGCATTACGATGATGGATTTTACTTATTTCTTGGTTGCAAGTCGTTGAGGGACTGTGAAATTCAGTGAACCAGATAATACAACTTCTAGGCTCAACAGTATGGGGGTCTTAATTCCAATCTAGCTTGCAATGACCTTGAACGGATAGGTAAAGTTGGTTAGCATGATGAGAATAAACACGTTGACCTCGCTTAAGATGTTCAATGAAGATGCGCTGATGAGGTAATGGTAACACCCTCACCTGGCGTATCGCATTTCCGAGCTGAAGACAAGACACGGCCAAAGGTATTCACTGATTTTCGCAGCTCTAATAAGAGCGAAACTCAAGTCAGACGACTGTCCTTTTAATGTGGACTCACCAGAATAATTACTCCAGGACTGGAGGACTGCTCAAACGAGTGATTTGAACATGAATTCTACAATTTCAGCAACCACTTACGATGATTTTGCCATTCTTTCTCGAAAGTTTGGTCCGTTACCAAGAGTACATCTCACTTCTTAGTGAGATTCCTTGTCGATCAGATTTCGGTTTTTGCTGTTCGGTGAAACTAGGTAAGATAAGATTGTTTTGGTAGTTGGCTTGTTCGCTGAGCTGGGCAATTTGATTGCAAACGTTTTATCACCAATCGAAGTGACATCATCGGTGCATCATTGGGCACAACCACTAACCCACCGCTACGCACCACTACGCTCCCCAACAACGCACTGATGATGTCACCTCGATTGGTGATGAAACGTTTGCAATCAAATTGATTAGCTCAGCGAACAATCCAACGACCATCTGCGCTACCTGAGCTACCAAAATTTTCCTCTATAGATAAGGTTGTTTTATATAACATTTACTGATGAGCGAAACAAATAGTTTTTGTCGCGTCCATCAGATCACTTGAACACGAAGTCTGTTACGGTTCACTGATATCTTTCCGGCGTGCAAAATAGTTGCATTATTTGAATGAGCTGACCTTTTGTCTAACAGTGGTATGGGTTGGTAAACAATACCAAAAATGTGGACGAATGAAAATTTTCACGTGCGTGAAGATTTCTTTTTGAAGGCTTCCACTCTTAAGAAAACCACTGTACTCTTATATCCTTGGGACAAAACCAGAACCGTACAAAATATACTAGTTTGTTTAACAACAGGGCACTTACCAGACGTCCTCGTGGTCCAAGACTTCCTGGCTCACCTGCTGGCCCCGGATCGCCGGGCTTTCCAGGTGTTCCTGGAGCGCCTTCTGCACCCGCTCGGCCTTCGGGTCCCATAGGACCCCGTTTGCCAGGTTGTCCTCGTTGGCCTTTCTCTCCTACGGGTCCGAAAGGTCCTGGAGGACCAGGTTCACCCCGAGGTCCACGATCTCCACGTTGCCCTCGAGAGCCTATGGCACCAGGTTCACCAGATTTACCCATTGAGCCTGGAGGTCCTCGAATACCTTGTGGTCCCTGGAGCCCTTGGGGTCCAGGTATACCCGGTGCTCCAACCATACCAGGTCGACCGATGGCTCCAAGAGGACCCTAAATTACAACAATTCGCGTTCAAGCCTGAATTCACAAGAGTAGAATTGATGTATAAACTATCTGTATGAGTTCCGTCCGCCCCTACCTTCTCAGCAGTTTTTAGTAAACTGCTATAAAGTTTACAACCAATGAATTTTTACGATTTGATTGGCCTAATTTGCATGATCAGGTTCGCGGACGGTAGTTTAGTTGCGTTTTGACTTTGCTGACTTGTGGAAAGACTATGAGGAGATGAATACGAAGAAGCGGAACTCAGGCCATACAGCCTTTTATGTAATAAGATATTAGCAGAGGTGGATGTAAATATCACCTAGATCTATCCTTCAGTGAAGTCTTCTTTTGAAATTAAAACTGGCATCCTGTTCAAAGCATATGAGTGGTTCAAAGAGGTAATTTAATGACCATACTGAAGATGGCTCCCCTGAGCGAAGAGTCTTGTTCTGGCTAGTTAATACTAGCTGATGCTGAGGAAACCAGATCTACTGACAAGCAGAGGTTACCCCATTTCATTCATAGAACCGCCATTTCTATATCCGTCCTGTCATCCGGACAGATGTTGATCGTTCCTATTAGGAAATCAAAATGTTCCATAGATTGTGCGCGGCTTTGTGTTTGAAGCTGCTTGCCTACTTGACTAGAAGTCAGCGATATCTTTTATTAACTTTTACAAAACATCCTGTTGAGGATCGCTGCGTACTCCTTGAGACAGATGGAGTTTCCGAGATTTCAGCACAGTGGGGAAGTTTCTTTAGGAGTCCCCATGCGATCCAGCAAACGTGGCTACCGTTCTTGCGTTATTATGTCGGTGAAAATCATCTCCATGGGTAATGAGATTTTGAGTGAAGTACACAAAAAATAATTTTCTTTCATTAATAATGTATTTTCCGCCTCTCTCATAACACCGTTGGATAATTAAAAGACTCGAGAATACCCTATAGAAACAGCTTTCTATATCAACTAGAACCAATGAGTAAACAGGCACTCAAACTCCCGCACAACCTCGGAGTTGTCACCTGTGCGATACTCACCTCAAGTCGTCTCCTTGATCAAGATCAGAATAAATCGACATAAACAGGCACTTCCCGCACAACCTCGGAGTTGTCACCTGTGCGATACTCACCTCAAGTCGTCTCCTTGATCAAGATCAGAATAAATCGACACGACATACGCTTTTCTCCTAATGAGTTTATCAAAACGGCTGGTTTGCGCTGCGCAAGCTAACAGTAGCTTGTGTCTAATCGAAAGCTACTTTCAAGCTACTTTCAATACGGATAGAAGGGAAACATTGCAGAATGCTGACATAATGAGGTTGGCATCACATGGTCAGTATATTGCAGTTCGTACAAACTGACTTGTGGACACTGAAAATTAGTGTCTCTTAAATGGACAAAAGTTTCATACTTCACTCGTGTGTCAGAACCACATGTGTAAGTTTGGATCAACCCAATCGCAAGGCGCCTGGAAGAACAGATTCGTTCATCCACGCCGACTGCTGATATACAGTTACTTTAATGGTCGAGGGAAGGATCTTCATCTCTGTCTGTCTTGCCATGGTTTCCGATAGACGCCGATCTGTTCTACAACTGTACATTTCTCCTAAAACTGCAAAGAAGTGAAGAATCACGCTGGCGTCTGCCGAGCCTGGCCTTGAGGGAACATTCCTGTACTACCCTTATTGCCGTTAACCAGGAGTGAGCACCTCACCAATTTCCAGAAAATTACCGACTCCCAACCACTCCATATATTCTGAACACTTAACCATTCGACGAAGAGCTGTTCATCGGTAGCGCAGCGAACACACACTCAGAGAGGATTATAGCATCATCAGTTCTTCACTCGGGAATTCACATTACGTGGTCATGTGTTGTTGATTGACTCCTGGGCTAGGCTTTGAGGACTAAACTATTCGGCCACAAACGGTTGCTCAGTAGTGAGACTAACTCTCACTTAGAGTCACTAACCCTTCAATCAAGGGCTTCACATCACATGTTTATGTGTTCAATGGCTGTTCGAGTAGCGACTTCTCAGTTGAAAGGCTCACTTGACTCATGAATCATTTCTCCGATCGCCAATGGCAGCACATTTTTAATTGCGTTCTTTAATGTTTGGGAATCGTAGAGCGTTGGTACGCAATTTATTGTATCCCTTGTTACTTGCAGCAACACTCTGTTCAATAACGACACAGTATATGGGTCATGTGACCGACTTAATTCTCCCCCTTAGCTAAGACCTAACTAGTCATGTAATCGACTGATCCTGCTGATGATAGAACGTAGCAGCAGAAATGGAATAATATAATGTGTGTCCACCAGCTGTCTCCAATTTTCTCGGCCGCGGTCCAGCCTATGGTTTTTATACAGCTCCAAGGATCGAACTAGGTCATGACCGGACCTTGCACGTACCTCCTATAGAGCATCCCCTGCAGAAGTGATCCCACTAAAGTGACTGGTTTTGATCAGTCCCATCAAACTTCCATTATACCCTAATAGAATGAGCTTTCCGACAGCAGAAACTGAGCGCGGCGTTGCTTGCCCTATAAGTCACACAGTCGTCCCTCCACGGTTAAACCATACTCGTTTATTAATATAAAAAATCTGTATTGAAGAAATTTCCAGTAGAATAATAGGGAGCACTTACGTTGTTCTAAGTGCGAACGACCGTGGCACAAGGTCTGATGTACCCATCACATCGCAAAACCAACATTGGAGCGGTGAAGATGGAGACCCCACTTTGTCGAATAACGGTGCGAATGGCCAGATTCTGCAGCACCACAAGCCTGTCGGGCTGTTGCATCTAACTACTGTCCCAACCCAAGTGCCTTAGTGTCGAAGGGAATTCACAAACAAGGAACACAACAGACTTATTGCGGACAAGCGAGTGCCTGAACACTTGTCGGCTGTTGCTGAATCGATTGATCGATTGACTTGCCTGAATGCTTACCTATTGCTTTCCTATAGGGATTTTGGTGGAGTTTGAGGGTCTCAGTAGGTTTCGGATATTCCGGGATTTTTTTCAGGAATATGACCTTCCTGACACGGACTATTCATTCTCACTTTGTTCATAGTAAAGTATGAATTTGAGACATTAGGTGGTGCTATGCGCAAGCTAACAGTAGCTTGTGTCTAATCGAAAGCTACTTTCAAGCTACTTTCAATACGGATAGAAGGGAAACATTGCAGAATGCTGACATAATGAGGTTGGCATCACATGGTCAGTATATTGCAGTTCGTACAAACTGACTTGTGGACACTGAAAATTAGTGTCTCTTAAATGGACAAAAGTTTCATACTTCACTCGTGTGTCAGAACCACATGTGTAAGTTTGGATCAACCCAACCGCAAGGCGCCTGGATGAACAGATTCGTTCATCCACGCCGACTGCTGATATACAGTTACTTTAATGGTCGAGGGAAGGATCTTCATCTCTGTCTGTCTTGCCATGGTTTCCGATAGACGCCGATCTGTTCTACAACTGTACATTTCTCCAAAACTGCCAAAGAAGTGAAGAATCACGCTGGCGTCTGCCGAGCCTGGCCTTGAGGGAACATTCCTGTACTACCCTTATTGCCGTTAACCAGCAGTGAGCACCTCACCAATTTCCAGAAAATTACCGACTCCCAACCACTCCATATATTCTGAACACTTAACCATTCGACGAAGAGCTGTTCATCGGTAGCGCAGCGAACACACACTCAGAGAGGATTATAGCATCATCAGTTCTTCACTCGGGAATTCACATTACGTGGTCATGTGTTGTTGATTGACTCCTGGGCTAGGCTTTGAGGACTAAACTATTCGGCCACAAACGGTTGCTCAGTAGTGAGACTAACTCTCACTTAGAGTCACTAACCCTTCAATCAAGGGCTTCACATCACATGTTTATGTGTTCAATGGCTGTTCGAGTAGCGACTTCTCAGTTGAAAGGCTCACTTGACTCATGAATCATTTCTCCGATCGCCAATGGCAGCACATTTTTAATTGCGTTCTTTAATGTTTGGGAATCGTAGAGCGTTGGTACGCAATTTATTGTATCCCTTGTTACTTGCAGCAGCACTCTGTTCAATAACGACACAGGGTCATGTGACCGACTTAATTCTCCCCCTTAGCTAAGACCTAACTAGTCATGTAATCGACTGATCCTGCTGATGATAGAACGTAGCAGCAGAAATGGAATAATATAATGTGTGTCCACCAGCTGTCTCCAATTTTCTCGGCCGCGGTCCAGCCTATGGTTTTTATACAGCTCCAAGGATCGAACTAGGTCATGACCGGACCTTGCACGTACCTCCTATAGAGCATCCCCTGCAGAAGTGATCCCACTAAAGTGACTGGTTTTGATCAGTCCCATCAAACTTCCATTATACCCTAATAGAATGAGCTTTCCGACAGCAGAAACTGAGTGCGGCGTTGCTTGCCCTATAAGTCACACAGTCGTCCCTCCACGGTTAAACCATACTCGTTTATTATTATAAAAAATCTGTATTGGAAAAATTTCCAGTATAATAATCAGGAGCACTTACGTTGTTCTAAGTGCGAACGACCGTGGCACAAGGTCTGATGTACCCATCACATCGCAAAACCAACACTGGAGCGGTGAAGATGGAGACCCCACTTTGTCGAATGACGGTGCGAATGGCCAGATTCTGCAGCACCACAAGCCTGTCGGGCTGTTGCATCTAACTACTGTCCCAACCCAAGTGCCTTAGTGTCGAAGGGAATTCACAAACAAGGAACACAACAGACTTATTGCGGACAAGCGAGTGCCTGAACACTTGTCGGCTGTTGCTGAATCGATTGATCGATTGACTTGCCTGAATGCTTACCTATTGCTTTCCTATAGGGATTTTGGTGGAGTTTGAGGGTCTCAGTAGGTTTCGGGTATTCCGGGATTTTTTTCAGGAATATGACCTTCCTGACACGGACTATTCATTCTCACTTTGTTCATAGTAAAGTATGAATTTGAGACATTAGGTGGTGCTATTTAAACCTCCCGAGGTTGAATGTTCATCACCTGAATGATTCAAGGTATCGAGGGGCCCATTCTGCCCAAGATGGAAACTCCACGATCCCCAACTGACTGTTGCAGTTATTCACCGTGCTTTACAAAAAACATGTGTACATACAGCAAGTTCATCCCAAGGATGGTAATGGGAGGAAGTATAAATACTACTGTTGCAGGCACACAAACTGAAACTGGTTGTGTACACACGTGTTGTAGTTCTACACATTCGGTGTTTCGTTGACAAGACCCCCAAACAGACTGAAGAGTCTCTTGAAGTGCTACCATGCAGTGCCAAAAACATCCGGTGGCATGAATTCGAACGAGACGTTCCTCTCTTTTATCTCATATTCTCCAGTTACCCTTTCGCGTTCGTCGCTTGCATTCGCTTTTTATGTTTGTGACCATGCTCTTCAAAAATAAATGACAACAGTAGTAGTAGTGTAAGCAGTAGAGTGTAAAAACTATAGAAATTTAAAAAAACGGTAGTAAGAACGAATGTCGAAATGACCCAAGCGCAGGATGGTTAAGTCAAAAGTTAACATCCCAGTCTTGAAAAGCTGGATCCGTCATTTACCCAGTAAGCCATATTGGGTACGGCCTAGAACGGTCCGCTTTCGATTGAAAACCACCGCACTACTGGCAGACAATTGCTGCGTCGATAACACTTAAACAAAAGGACCAGATAAAAGTCATTCCTTTGTGCTCCCTGTACTGCTGACCATTGGGATTGACAGCAAAATGAGGCATACAGGGTAGTCAGCAACTGTTAGTGTCTTTTTCAAAAAGACTACTTTTCGCGTCAAATGATTTGCGCCTCTCACTCGTCCTGAAACAGACTTGTGGCCACATTCACTGATACGAAGCTACTAAACTGCATGTGATGCCCGAACCACAAAAGCTTTAGGTGATTGGGCGTTGTGCCAGACATCGCCGCGCTATTTTTTTCCCAAAAATGCCTAAGGAAGGTTAGGATAAGCTATAGGTCCTGTTGTACGGACTAATACTAAGCACAAAAGATTCCACTATGTTGCATGTCTGGATTACTAGCCATCCGATCCGACAAAAAGATAGGGTAAAACACCTGTTCACTCGTATTTTGAAAATGTCAGTCACCACGGTGTTCTTTCTGGTGAGGAAAATTGTGCCTTTACTACGCGATGGGCTTTGAAAATCTCCGATTTTTAACGGCTTACTTGGAGGAGATCAGCGTTTCACACTTCAAATTTGTTTCTTCATGGTCCCCGGAGGGAAGCCTAAAGGCCTATCGACAAGGTGAGCAAAACAATCGCAAGATGCGGCAAACATGTGGGGAAGGTGTTCACACCACTAACAAATCAGGAATGACGCGGGGAAGTAAGTTCTTGTTTTCCTCATAAATTTAATGGAATTCGCGGATTTTTGCGACCGATTTAGGTGCTTCAGAAGGGAATTATGTCCCCTGGTTTTCACGAACACAGTGGGACTCGACTCATTTCTGGAAAGGGCTTGAGGTCAGCACAGAGGAATCATGAAGTCTAATGGCCTCACTTTCCGCCTTATGTCTGATGGAAAATTACAAAGCAACTAACTCAATGGACACGACGTAGTCGGATGAATGCGCCGTATCTCAACGGTACCGCTTGAGTCTGTGGATGGACTATCGATCTAGCAAGTCCTCTGATGATGGGTCTCGAACTAGCCAATAAAATCACTTACAAATGTACGCTTTACACCGGGGGGAATATAGTTTGTTCTTCAGAGAAAATAGGAAAGCAAAAAAGAGGGCCATAAATGATCAGGTTTTCAACGAGCAAGCCATGTCCAACTAAGTCTTCCAAAGCCGTGGAATTTGCCAGGAGACAGAAAGAGGCGCTTCCGCGTTAAAAGAAGGACGCTTAAAAAACGGAACCAGGAAGCAGCTGACTACCCGCTTTATTTTGAGTTAGGAAGTCTAGGTTCAAAGTTCACAATCCTAACCTCAAAATCATGTGGCTACCGAAACAATACTGAACTCATTTCGAATGGATATTCATTTGTGATCATTCATTTGCGTCTTTAGCAGCACAAGAGTTGGCCATACCACCTAATGTATACTTAGCATAGCAATTGGCAAATCATTGTGAAACTTTACCAATATTGCTGGTTAAGTGAAGTGAACTGTCAGAACCCACCTTTGGTCCTGGTTCCCCATTCGGTCCAGGTTGTCCTCGGGATCCAGTTTTACCCTGGAATAAGTGAATGATAATTTGTGTCACGAAAATTAGTAGATGCCCCCTAGACAGAACAAGGCAATAAGAGAGGGCAATCTTTAGCAGGAGTTGGCCATACCACCTAATGTATACTTAGCATAGCAATTGGCAAATCATTGTGAAACTTTACCAATATTGCTGGTTAAGTGAAGTGAACTGTCAGAACCCACCTTTGGTCCTGGTTCCCCATTCGGTCCAGGTTGTCCTCGGGATCCAGTTTTACCCTGGAATAAGTGAATGGCAGGAAAATTAGTAGATGCCCCCTAGACAGAACAAGGCAATAAGAGAGAGCAAAACTTTCGTCACTAGTGGAAAACCTTAAGCAATTTAACTTACTCTTGGACCTGTTGATCCCCTTGGACCACTGGCGCCAAGATCACCTTCAGAACCTTTCTCTCCAATAGGACCTGGTGAGCCTGGATCGCCTGGAATACCAATTGCTCCTGGAGGACCTTCCGGACCTGGTGTTCCACGGCTTCCTGGAGGACCTCTACTCCCCTCAAACCCTGGCGGTCCAGGTGGTCCGGCGGATCCGCGAATTCCCCTTCTGCCAACTTCGCCTACAGGACCAGTGGGACCGCGCTCACCACGACGACCCTTATCACCTTCAACACCAGGTAGTCCTTGAGCACCTTGTAATCCGGCAGCCCCTTCAGGTCCTTTCGGACCCGCGGTTCCCGATTCGCCTTCGGAACCAACAAACCCACGGAAGCCTGCAGGACCAGGTTCTCCTGGATGCCCACGATCTCCCATCTCACCCTTATTTCCAACTGCTCCTGCTGGTCCATAAACACCTTGTTTTCCAGAAGGTCCTGGTGGACCGGGTGCTCCACGATCTCCGCGAATCCCAGGGAATCCAACCTCTCCTTTGGGGCCCGCCATACCTGGATTACCCTTGATGCCTTCAGGGCCCTGTCTACCAGGGCTGCCTTGAGGCCCGGGAGAACCGGCATCACCAGGTGGTCCTTGAACTCCGCTGGTGCCATCGATTCCCTGTAAATAAATCGTACGTGTAAGGCTGAGTGAATACAAGACAGGTCCCCAATTGAAATATAATTCAAAACCAATTCCACTGACAGAAGATGCCAATTGACTTGAAAAAGCCGTAATCAGATGCATGCGTCGATCTTTTAGTTGTTGAGTCGTGGCGATAACCAATCACATCGCTTAAGCGTGAGCAAGGTCGCCTGTTCAGAAGTCCAGCATGCCCGGGTGTGGCAGTGGTAACACACTCGCCTCGCATATCAGATGTTCGGAGTTCAAACCACGGCACGGCCAGTGAGCACTAAGATAAACTTGAGTCTAACGCTTCCCTGAGCACTAAGATAAACTTGAGTCTAACGCTTCCCTTCCCATTTGATGTGAACTTACCAGAATAATAACACCAGGACTGTTCAAAGGAGTGGTGTGGATGTATACTTAGGAAGAATCAGGTATTTTCAGCTTGGGTTGGAATCTGAAAGCTAATTCTGTCAGATCAAAGTCAGTTGTGCTTTGCATTTAGTTTCCAATTTCATTCGAGTAATTCGACCAGTTAGACACGCATCCTTTATTTTGGATAAAGGTTCCGTTCAGGACGAAAGGACCGTTTCTACGTTAATTTATCCCGTCTACCTACTATATGAGTGGTACAGATTGTGTGGACGATCAGGCGGAGTAGAGTTATTGGAATTGATAACAACGCTGGAGCGATAACGGGCTGGTAACAAGTAGACAGCCGAAAATGTAAGTTGATACGACATCAAGAACACTATGAGTGATGACGGAAGCAAGTGGCTTCTGTCTTGACAACAACAATTCGATTCTTGGTCACTCTGAGACTATTCGCGCCGATCTTATATAGATTGGGTCGAAAATACTGACATGTGTGAAAAAATCGAATTATGAAAAAAGTTAATGTTTACTGTTCGACGATTTGGAGTTGTGAAAACCACTGTGCGTGGCGGCCGCAATAAACAGCGGCTAAGTCCCTCCATTTCGATCCTTCCATCTTTCGGCTGTCTTCAGCCGGGACTTTCCAGTGTATTTAGTAACAAAAACGCGCTAACCGGAAGGGTGATCACCAACTGAACTAAATGTCATCACACCGCGTGAAATGACCTGAGGGAGAATTCCTGTTCCTAAACTACCAAACGTCGTCGAGTTTTCGAAGTTTGAATGTGTATTTCACCTTCAAAATGTGTAATAGATCAATGCAATCAGAATAGAACAGTTGTTTTGATCGTACGATTTCTACGTAGTTTGTGTTATCCTTCACTGCATAACATAACCCACCAAATAGAATAGAGGTAGGTTGAAGCCATTGGCCGCCACTGATTTTCATTTGCTTATCAATACATTGTTTACCTCAAGTTCCAACCTATTCATCTTTTTGCGGTTGTATAGAACATAGCGCAGCAACAGGCGTTGCGTGCTGGCGGAAACGTGACCGCAGATCTACCAGGGTGTAGTGAGTCGCCTTTGAGGTACTCAGTAACACCACTACAACACTGTTAGAAGTATCGTGTATAGGGGCTTTTGACTAGAGCTGAATGCAGCTGGGTGGCTGAATGAAGCTATTATAGGCCAGTGACAAATATGGAACCCCGATTTACTGTGTGTCGCACTTGCCTTTGCATAGGTTAAGATATCTACTCGGGCAAAATTCTAGTGTTGCTGAGGTGAACAGAATTTACCAAAATGCTTGAGAAACATGTCCCTATGGTATATATATATATATATATATATATATATATATATATATATATATAAAACA